AATTCTGGCACTGTCTGGGACGGTTTACCACGGTGCAGTCTCACTATTGCTTTTGCATTTCTTGGCAATTCTCTTCATGTTGTTTTTAAAATCTGCACAACGTAATATTTAAAAAGGGGTGCATGCAGATAAAACAGCTCTATGTATGGGGATATTAACCAATCAACACCCACTTTCATGTGAAGGAGAAAAATAATCCAGATACCTGCTGCTTTCACAAGAGGTTCATTTCTTGTCGACAGTGTCTCCACCAGATGAACCATAGTCACCACAGAGGTGAAAGGAACCTGGTACGAAGTCCGGTGAAGTATCCCAGCTTTCAGTAGACAACGAAAGCCAGCCACAGCGGTGCCTGCACATCCTCTAGTCTTTTATTTATGTCTTTGGACTCCTCCACACGATCCAGCTTGGCTATCAGCAAGCTCATAACACTATGGTGGCAGACACACACTGCAAACCTCTATATACACACATACATGTATGTACATTTAATTTTACATGGAATAGTTTTCCAAACCTTCGCAAATTCAAACCTTAGCAAATTATTCACCTGATCTTCATACACACTGTATCCTCTCTGCTAGTGTGAATGGTACCACAACTAGAAACTTAGTTGATGTCATTTCCATACCGTGGCCTAGCAGCACGAGTTACAAGCTCTCATTCAGAAGAGCCCATGAACTTAGTTACACATCTGCAATGCACTAACAAAACAACAGCATCCCAGTGGGTTTCGGGCAGTAAAGGGGAAGTCATCTTTCATAACTTCGCTGTTTTTAATTGTCAGTACACACAGAAGACCACCTGTTTTATATTGTTTTCAGTCCTAGACATTGGTCTCATATCTCTCAACATCACCTTCAGGCATTAGCAATTCAGTCTTGCTCGGGAGCTCTGTGGCATCTGCAGAATACGGAATGCTACCCTACCCAGCAAGCTGCTAGGGCTTCATCCTTCAGAGAAGCTCTTGCAGCTACAGTTTTAACACAGAGACCAAAGAGACTATGGAGTATTTAAACACACTACAGAGACCAAGTGCAGATTGTAACAAGCATTTCTGCATGGAAAGTGCTGCAACAGAAGACACTATCCACTTTCACAGTACATATACTGCTCTCCCACTTGTAAAGAACAGTTAAGTACTTCAGTTCCTTTAGGAATTACATCTCTCTATCTCAATGCCACATGTATTTATTTTTTTAAAGCCAGATGGGGCAAGAGATATGGAAGTCCTTACTTGATCATGAAAAAAGCATGTCTGGACTTCCTTCTCTCCTTATTTCCTTAGTGAAATGTCTTCCTTCCCCATGTATACAATTTTGCAAGTTTACCTGCCTTCTTGTAGTTCTATTTCAACTCCAACATTGCAAAAAACTTATCTTAATCTAAAAACAAGAATTGCTAAATCTGCCCATGAAGATCTTTTCCTAAAGAAAAAAAAAAGGAAAAAAAAAAAAAAAAAAAAAGAACACTGCTCTCTAGTGGAAGATTATCGTATGATCTAGTCTCTAGTCATGCCTCACAAAATGCTTTACAGCTTTCATTTTATTATTTACAGAAAGACTTCATTTTTACAAGCACTTACACTGAAGTAGCAGCACTGGTTCATTTTATTTCATTCTTTCAGATTGTCCTGTGAGATTTGGGTATTTATTCTTTCTTAAAGATAAGTTTGCTCTGCCAATCAATGCTGTAACCACATCAAAGTGACCTGTACTTTTGCATTAAAATATTAATTTATTTTCTAATTTTATTCCTTACGATTTTTCTGTTCTTACTAGTCTGTTGGACAATTTTCTGTTCTTAGTAGTGACAAGCTTTTCTAGGTCACAATGCACAGCTGTAGCTAGCTATCTTGAAGATAAAACATTCATGAGTTAAACTCACGGAAGACTTTAGGCACATAAATGGGTACTACTAAAATCTTTATGCTGTATGCTATGGGCTTTAAAGACATTCCTATCTGCAAAGACTGTGATACCGATAATACCAAATCAAAGACTGCCTCTTGCAATGGCTACTTCAGACATACTTTTTTTCCTTCCTCTGATAAGGACACGGCATAGACCCCAAACTGACATTACTTCAAAAGTACAGCAGTAGTACATGAAGCTATCATTAATGCCTCTTCGCAGCTACTAGAAACTTCACTTCAGGAAACCTCATTAATTGTCAACAGTCTTAACTAAGTCGATGAGGGAGAGACAGGTCAGGTCACCCATAAATTAATTATGCACAAATTATAATGCATCATGCACAATAAACAAACACAAGGTTTACATTTTTATCTTTGCCTCTTTTTATTGTCATAGTAAAGGCAATGATAACAGATGTAATTCACCAAATACTTAAGACACACAGAAGAGTAAACCCACCATTTAAATAGCTTTATTTCACTACATTTACAAAAGAAAACTAGGTGGATACTCATGTCAGCACAAACATCACCCGATTACAACTGTAGAAGAATCTTTATTCATAAAAACGCCAAACTCTTTCATCAGAACTTCCCACGATAAAACCAAGTAGTTATCCACAGCAAAGCTTTACCAGCTCTCTCCATTTGGCCTCTACCTGTCATATACTTGCATCTTTAAAGACAAATAAAGCTAGACTTCTATTAAGACAAACTCTTACTTGGCAATCTCTCAGAGATTACAAAGAAAATTTAAATTTATTCTGAATTCTTTAATTATTGCAAGAGAGATGGCAAAATATATATGGCTTTCAGAGCAGGTACCAAATGCCCAACCTTTACCCTGGAGAAATCTAGGCAGAGGTATATCTTAGTATATCCTACAGAAAAAATATAAAAACATCTGAGAACAGCTATGCGTAATTTCACATCGTGTCTTCACTGCATAGAAGAAGAATTAAAAACAAAACAAAACCCTAAGAACAATGAATGGCACCCTCAACTTCAACCAACAGGTTTTACATTCTCTTAGTATAGCCTTACACTTCTCTTTTGGTTGCCACATGAAGACAAACTGCAGCACAAACTCATGGATTTTCAAATGCTAGATTATTCAACAGCCAGCTTTTACTTTGTGAGTGCAACACTTCTCTTGTCTTTGTTTCTCTCTAACCTTGACCCACCATATGAGCACATTCAATATCCAAATACTGCTGACAAGAAAAAGAACTAAGATATTTGCCCTCTGCAGCGCTAAAGTAAATTTAAACATGCTACACTACAATAATTAAAAATGTATATTCATTCTGAAAACTAGTCTAATAGACGAAAATACTTGAATCAAATTATTTCAGGTCCACACATGAAAACAGCTTCCTTTTTATTCCTGCATCATGTATCAAAATAGAATTGAGTCATTCCAATAACCCTGCTTACTTACGAAATTTCCCAAACTAAGCCTGCTCTAAGTTGCAGAGGCCAGCAGTAAAACAACTGCTATAATATGAAAAACTATTTCAGAATTGGAACATTATTCTAACAGTCTTCGCAGAACATAGTAAGAAGTTCACAATCTGCCACTTGTTGTAGGTGTGTCCTAAACCAGAATCCTGGGGGAGGGGGGGAAACCGTTTCCTGAATAGTAACTTTGGATAAGGGAAAAATATATTTAATAAGTGAGCAAAGAGCAAATACTTCATATACTTTTAACAACACTCCTGAAGTTAGCACAGGATTAATGAAATCAGAAACTAAGTTCTACTTTTCTTGAGGTACACTTCATTCCTAGGAGCATAGAACAACCTCTGCAGCACCTGCTTAAATGCTTTTTCTTTGGGCTTGCACTGTACATTAGGAACTCTCAGGCAGGTGTTTTTATCAAATCTGAATACAGAATTGGTCGAATACTGAGTTAAGAAAAACTTGCACACATTAACAGTAATGCAAATAACAAAAAATAAAGCAAGCTGTCATACTGCACATATTTTATCGACTACTTGTAATTTACAAAAATATGTTTATACTACAAATGCCTCCTCTTCACCTTCACCTGTAGCCAATATTACAGCTTCACTAAGTACACAATTCTCATGGTCATCACTTCCCCAGAATTTCCTTAAGCCTCCAAAATTCATACAGCCAGTTCCCAGGAAATAATGAGCAAGTTGTGGATTATTTTCCCAAGCATTTGTGGGTTTACTATGAAGCTTTAGCAATCCTACAAGAAGCTCCAGTTGCCTACAGAACCACAATGCATGGCAACAGTAGCTTTGACACTTGATATCCACCCACACAACACACAAATTTCCAAGTACAGCACTTCCTTTCCTACAATACCATGTTTTAACATGCATTTCAATTTTCCTTCACCCATGCCACAAGAGAACCTGAAAGAGAATTATTTCTCATCATGTGTTGTAAGCTAGCTATAGGTAATTTCTTAAAAAACAAAACAAAACAAAAAAAAACACAACAAAAAACATGTATGTTGTAACATATATTATATCCTGAACACTTTATTTTTTCTTCTTAAGGCAGCATAAAGTACATGTCAAAATTTCAGAACTTGACTTGTGGTGGTGAGAAAGCAAACTTGCTTCCTCTACAAACGAGCATCAACTAGCCTGGGAAGTCATTTTCATAAGGTACTGACAGTTTCAGGTCATTCCAAAGCATGTTACTACAGGAAGAAAACCATCAGCTGAAATCCACCTTAAATGTATTTCTACTCTCACGTGCAGAGAAGCTTCTTATATCAGAGTCCGTACAAACAACAGATGGTAAACAATTGGGCAACTCTTTTGCTAGTATTTCACCTACCAATTTAGTTATTGAGACACGCAGCACTGATAAAACATTTTCTTAAATTATGATTTCTTGCTATTTCTTGTTTTTCTATCTGGTATTATACTTGAGTGCTATGTAACAATTGGAATATGAAACTCATTATTATCAAATATCAGAGGCCTCCTAGGAGGTGTTGATTCTTTGTCTGCTTTGTGCAAAAGTTTAAAAAGTCCTGTTCCAATATTCATTGGAATTCCCATGATGATGCATTCAGAAACACCTGGGAAGGGAAAAAAAAAAACAAAAACAAAAATACATTGAACACCCAAACAGTAAAGATTTACAAAACCCTTAAATATTTTAATTTGCCCATTCTGAACACATTACCTGTAACATTTCTTTGAACCTCACATCTGAAGGCCAAGGCTCCTCACTACGTGAACTTAAATGTTATGGTTATCAGAATGTTAGATCATTATGTTACTTAATTGGTGCTACTGCTATTCTAGATACCCAGGGAAAAATTCAATCTAATCTAAACACAACCTCTAGCAATGAAAGAGCTCCAGAAGGTTTTGTTTTTGTTTTTTTTTTCCTCACAGAAGACATGTTCCATTTGGTGCCAACATAAGAAGGTACCACAGCAAAGTCACTTCATATTAATTTTTTTATTAACTCAGTGCAAAGACTTCAGTCAAATCTGACCAAGCTCCCTTGAAACTCCTGCAATTTCCTGTTAAAAAGGTGTACTTCCTACTTCAGTTTGGAGTTTTTTTTTGATTTATTTATTGCATTTTCATTATTCAAAAAGAGCTTGGTTTGAACTCAAAGACATAGACTGTCTCTATTATTTTTCATAGCTACAAAACTTCACAGCAATGTTCTGACTTATCTTCCAAATACACTGATGTATACAATTCTTCTAAAGAATAATCTATATTAAAAGTAAGCTACCAGTGTTTTTACTTCTGCCTACAGTTACGATCCAAACACAAAATTTCACACATACTCAGGAACATGAGAATACTGTCCTTCATATAAGCATTTAAAAAACACATCTATAAGTCATAAGGAACAGTACATCTGAATGCACATCGTAGGATGAAAACTCATTTCCTTAAAGTTCTGGCAAGATTTGATTATTTCTTCCTATGCAAGTGAAGATTCGGTATTTTCACTCTTAGTCCAGTGTTGCATTTCTACATGTTTTCCAGCATTATGGACATAAAAAAAAAGAAGAAGATGTAATAGAAATCTTAGGCGTTATTGTAAGTCCCACCTCCTTATGTACCCTTACAGCATACATGTTGCAATGCATAAAGGAAACACCTTTCTTAAACTTAACTAAGTAAAGCTTTCCCAGTTTTGCATAATAACATTTCAAGATGAGCCAGCCTCTGAACCATGTGAACAGCATTTAGATTTCGGAAATCCTTCTCCCCTGCTAATGCTTGCAATTATATAACCAGGAGCCCTTCCTTCCCCACTTCCTTTTGCAGCATCTGGCAGTAGTCACACATAGCAGGAGATGTATGGACAGAACATGCTGCTGTAACAACCAAGAATGTTATATATGTGCTCAGTTTAATGAATTCTAGGAACCCATTCTGCCCACTGAAAGGTGGCATCAGCAACTTGCAGAAAAAAAAACACATCGTCTTCATGTACAAAAGGCATGAATCAGCATTGCCCGTTTTTCTCAAAGGAAAAAAAAAAGGCCTCTTAAAATATGAGAAATTCAAAGGTCACATTGTGTACAACTACTTCCAGACATTCTGGAGAATCACCTATGCTGATAGCAGGCACATGCTCACTTTTCTTGGCCATGTTTATACGTTTTCATCCTCTGCAGATGCAAGAATGTGAGATACTCTTTTCATAGCAATTCAAAGAGATAAATAGTGATGACCAGGTCAGGCAGCAGCACAGCAATTTTTCTTATAAGCAAGCCAGTAAATCTCTTCTGTTTTGGGACACAGACAACCATTTTCTGTTTTGTCCACTCTGTTTCCTTACTTGAACTAAACCATTTATATAGAAGACAACATGAAAGTATCTTTGGTTTCCATATAATTCAAAACAGGATCTTACTAGGTCAGTAAGGACATAATCATTCTACCATAGGATTTTTGCTTTAACCCTGGGCAGATTGATAAAAAGAATTAATAAAATCCCACCCACATGGGAGGCTGGAGAGCCTCCAGTGACTTAAAATGCAGACTAGTAATACAAATATTTCTAACAGATTCCATTGATTCAGAAAATATTCCGTCTACAAAGAGCTGACTGCCCTTTTTAAGACCATCAAGAAATACACACAAACTAACAAACCTTAACCTAACACAATCATTTTTATACTTCAGTAGCACCCAGAAACTCTAAATGAGTAGTTACAGCTCCTGGACTGTAGGCCTTAAACACTTGATAAAAAGGGTGAAAGATATTTGACTTCTTTTCCCAGTTTAACTTACTAGATAGAGAATTGTTAACAAATAACTCCAAAAGGAGAATGAAATCTGGGAGGAATGTTGTTAAAGGAGAGGAAAAACAAAACTAAACAGAAAATATTTCCATTCCAAATAATACATAGTAGAAATGCCAAACTGAGACAAATGTTGAAACAAATTCTTATCAGATTCCTTCATTACTTCAGTGAAAAGACAGTTTAGTGGACGTTAATGTTATCTCTAAAACTTAAAAAAAAACACATTTAGAAATAAATTTCTCAGGACAGGGACCATCTCTGTTCTGAATACTGACAAAATTCACCTATATTGCCTGAAAAATAAATGTCTTTCTACTTCTCTGGAAACTTAAATATTAAGTGAGATACTAGATTCCTTAGGTAGCTCTAGGTGTTGAAGATGCACAAACTTTTGCAATTGAAAAAGCGTAACTACTGATAATGGGAGAAATGTCCTGGTATTTCCCTTATCTAAGTAGTGAGAGACAGAAAATCCACATAAATCCACGTCTACTTTAAGGAATGTAAGACAAATGTCCAGCTGATCTCAAAATCTCTGACGGAGGTGAGAAGTAGAGAAAAATCCACCAAATTTCCATGATCAGGAAGCATGGATCAGCCTCAGACCTGAAGTTTTTGACACAAGCCGAAAAGAAAGCTTAACGAGGCTAAAAAATCTAATATGTGTTCATGAGCTTTACAGCTGCTGAATGAGGACCTCAAACAGCAACAAAATTTGCAATACCTACCACAAACAGAATCCTTCTGTCCAAAGTAGGCAGCATCAAAGAGATGGTCTGCAGTCTTTTCAAAAGAAGCCAGCATCAACACACTTTCCTTCATTTTTGCCAGTCCAAACCTGGTAATGCCCAGCACTTCACCCTTGAGTGATAGAGAAACCCAAAGAAAGACTCTCATAACAGTGGCTCAAGTTATACTTGTTGAAGAAGCAAATCAAGTGAACAACAGAAATGTGTTTTGCACATGGAACAACTAGTAAATGAAGTACTGTCTATAATATAGCATTTCTGTAATAGGCTGCTTCACAGCTAGACATCCAGAAGGTTAGTAGTTCTGTAGTAACAGATATTTCAATAAACCCGAAGAGAACACTCATATACTACAGAACCAGTTATAACTGTTATTAATACTCTTTCTTCAGACAGTATCTTATTAAGATTGACAGAAACATGGACATGAGAAAAAACAGATCAATTAGGTTGCAGAGCCACAAACTTCTGTAGTCTCTCACAGCAATGCTATGAAAGCACTATACTCAAGCTACTGCCTATTGTCTCCTGATAAATTTGATTTCAGCTGCCAGGAAATTACAGAACATGTAAAATCTTTATTTTTTCACTCTCTGGAAAAAAAAGAAAAAAGAAATAAGAAAAAAAGAAAAAAGAAAAAAAGAAAAAAGAAAAAAAAGAAGAAAAAAGAAAAGCTTTTTTTTTTTAAACTATCTTGGTGTATCTCTGCCTCTTTCTAACAAACATCCGAGTTATAACTGACTCTGCAGTTTTGTAGCACAAGTCAGAAGTACAGACAAAAGAATGCATGCATGCTAGGAGTCCAACAAGTGTAGAACAGTGCACTCCAATGCCCTTTTTCCTCATTGTGTGGCAGCTGTGCACAGCCAACCCTGGGGACTGTTGCAGCTCAGTACAAAGCCCTACAGTTTTGGGAGAAGTCTCAACTTCTCCATCCATTTTACCCAAATTAAACCCTTGCCCTCTGGCAAAGAGCAGCGGAAAAACTGGACTTCACTAAGTGTACTTATATATACCTTTTTTAAAAAAACAAACAACCCCACCCGCCCCTCCAAAAAAAGAAAAAAAAAACCAACACAATACACCACCACCATTTCAGATGCAAAGGAAGAAAAAAAAGTTAATAAAGAATGGATAGGATATTTTTATTAACAAGTTCTGGAAGCCTGTTTGTACTCTAAATGTAATCTGTTTCCATCTAATGTCTATATTCTTAGGCTCATCTACACAGTGCAGCTGCTATGAACCACACCCCATGTGGTTTTCTGCACAGCAAGCCTTAAATTGCATGGATGGTTATTCAGACAGTTGATTTTCATCCTACAATTTTTAAGCTTCAGATTTTGAATATGAAACTATGATTCTCTACTCCTTATATCAACTTGTCTTCTATCAAAATAGAACATTCATCTGCCCTCCAAGAACTAGATAAAACATTTTTGTTTGATACACAATCAACAGTATTTGGTTTGTACCACTTACAATTCTTTAAATCTGTAACTGGAGTTCCTGTTCTTCAGACCTGTTCTTCTCAAAGATGGTAAAATTAATTTGTATAAGCAGGTCAATGTAACATTGAGAAAAAGCACTGTACAAACCTTGTAAGTCATTAGATCAGACAGTAACATAACATGTCTCCTGTCAATGCTCATACCATGGTTCACCATTGTATACTGAATCTCATTGATAATGGTGGTCCGAGCAGCTTCAATTCCTAGTGTTTTTTCTACCTGCAAAAAAGATCAAATAGACTTCATAAAAACCTTGGAGCACATATATGTTCCTGGAACAAATACCATCTGATGTCAGATAACACTCTATTTCCATTATTATCATTTTGTATTTCTTTGTTTTAAAAGTATTTATAGAAAAAGCTTTGAAGTCCGCTGCCAGACAAATTATTCTCTTGTGTTAATGTATTCTGACAACTATTAGTGAAATCAGGCTTGATTAGATATAAATTGTGGCATCTGAGCACAAACAAGCACTTGTAATCAAGATTCTACTGGAAAAAAAAAAAACACAAAAAAAATAAACAAACAACAACAACAACCACCACCACAATACACATTTAAACATTACCTCATAAGTGTTGTTAGAAGATGTTTTTGTGCCTTTCACTCCATGAGTAGCCATAACAGCTCGCAGATTATCACCTTCAACTAGGAGTTTGTATTTTTCCTTACCACTTTGTTCATCAATATGGATGACAGCTCGGGAAACCTCTGGTATACCTTGCACTACAACCTTCACAAAACAAAAACCCAAGTAACTTGGACTGACCCTAATCAGTATTCCAACTGATTTTGAAGCTTCACTCTTTGGCGTAGATAGTGAGTTAAGATATATATGAAATCAGATTTCACTCTTAAATATGCCAGTACAAACGTAATGTTCACACCGTACTATTAACCTTACTTAGTACCTACATTTTCTATTTCATTCCAAATATCCTTACATTCAGACCTCTCTCTCTGAAGAGTAGGTCCACACAATTGAAAGTGCATCCTGCCAATAGTTAAGTTCACTCATCAATATTTTTAAAAGCAAAAAGTAGACAGTTATCCTCACACAAAGCTGCAAAAACATCAGATACTGTCAACGTGGTTCAACTCAAGATGGAGCTACAGGAAGATAATCAGTTCATACATTTACAACTGCTGCACTCAGAATGCTTCAATAAGTGTTGTAACGAAGGCTATGTACCAAGGCTTCTTTTTTTATTTATAACAATTAGTGATAGAGTCTTAGTTTCAACTGCACGTCAGTAATAAATATGCTCAAATTACCTTCAATCTTGTCAATACTGATAAGAAATACTTCATCTTTCCACTATAAAACCCCAGATTATTGTTCCTAAACACCTCCTAAAACAGAGTCTACATTTTTACCTTTGGTAATTCCTCTTTCAGGGACTGCAATACATAATACATTGAACTCTTGCTATTTTCACGAGGGGTCACACATACAACTGCTTCTCCATGGACAGCAACATCCCCAGGCTTCACTCTGAGTTTAGATATGCAAATTGAGTAGCGCACAGTCTCTGCATTCACCTGCAGGCAAGAGTTAGTCAGCAAACATCTAGATATCTCTCAATATATGTCAATGTGCTCAAAGACATGCAGCAGTCAATATTTCTGCTCTTTCAACAGAAAATCAAAAGTGGAATGTAGAAAAAAAAACAACATAAAACCAATAACTCTTACAAGTTACATGACATACCATCCTATACTGAAGGTACATACAGGTTTGTATGTTCCTAACAGACAGACAAAAAAAATCATTTTTGTATTGAAAATGACACTAAGAAACTAATTCGCATTCTAATTTCCAAATAGAGGAAAAAGTTATCTGATTTACAAGTTGTTGTTTTTTTAATTAAAAAAAAAGACACAATAGATTTAATATTGGCACAGGACATCCTTGGTTTTCTTTCTATTTTCAGTTTCATGGGTCTGATTTTTGTTTCCGTGCAAGACCTGGATCCTTCCCAAAGCACATTCTGATTACGAGCTCAAAAACCTACCTCTAATCTCAGTAGTCTAATACGCTCTAGAGACAGCTTCACTAGGATGAAACAATCATCTGGAAGAAACACTTCTTCAATATATTCTGAAATCTTAAAAAGGACAAAACAGTTAGTATGTGAAAACGGTTAAAATGCCCTATCCTGGCTAAGATTTACATTTAAGGCATTACCAATAATACAGTATTTCCTACCTCTCCTAATAATGTTTTCTCAATTCTTCCTTTAACCAGACGAGCAAAATCAGGATCATCATCTTTGTCCAACTGTGCTGTTATAATAGGTGTGCTACAAACAATAAACATGCAAGAAAACAGATTTAGGATATAGCAATTTGAATTAAAGCTTTCCTTATGAAGCTTATCACATTATCTAAATTAATATTAAAAAAAAAAAGGAAGACCTTCAGCTTCCTCAGTCACTTTGAAGGAAGTTATCATTTATGTACTGCAGGATGGCAAAAATAAACAAACAAAAGAGATTATATTAATACATTAGGGACTATTGTGATGGCCTACAGAATTCCAGTACTGCTTAAGAATACCTCCCAGGTAGTTTTGGCTACCACTAAACAATGGTAAGCTTTGTAACATGAGAGATGCCTAACACAATATTATAATTAATTAACAAGTTTACTTAATTTAATTTAAAAAAAAAAAAAAGAAAAAAATACACTACCACCAAAAGAAACAAACAAACAAAAACAAACAAACAAACACATTTCTAATTTCTGTCTTTAAACCATCACTTAGTTGTACTGAAGCTAGATTTTTCTCATTCGGGTGGTGTTCTATGGATTCAATGTCATCTAGCATGTTACCAACAACAGGGAAATGCTATACTATAAATCCCAGAAATCAGAATGTTAAAAATTCATCAGGTTTCACTTCGGCAAAGAGGAAAGAAAAAAAAAAGATTAAGAAATGAAAACCAAACCAAACCCACAATGTTAGTACCTAATTGCCTTTGAAGCATTAATAATTTCTTTGATTCTTGGCACACCCAAAGTAATGTTCATTGAAGCAACCCCTGCAAAATGGAAAGTCTTCAGTGTCATCTGTGTGCCAGGTTCACCAATACTCTGTGCACAAAGGGCTCCTACTGCAGAACCAGGCTCCATCTGTGCCCTGAGAAAGAAATGGTTTTATAAAAAATACAGGAAGATTCAGAACTCAGTAAGTCTTGCAATCCTACACAAGTAAAGACAGCAACTCTTCTGGCAGATACAAGAGAAGCGTATTAATTTTTTAGAGAGTTTAAAAGGTCACCAATACTCAAAGACACTGGTCTCATTCAAGGCAAGAGCATGCCTTGTTATATACACATTCCACAGCCCCACAATAACATCCCTAACAGAAAAGATAAAATGCTTGGCTCCTTCTCCTCAAAACCATCAAGAAGTAAATTGTGGGTTTGCCATTCATGGAACTCCCGTACATTAGTATTTCCAAAATTCCCCTTTATATTTTGAAGCAGAACAGACCGTTATTTATTTATTTATTTATTCTTTAATAAATTATAATGCAGGCTGCTTCTAATCAGAGCAAAATCCAAATATTACTGCTTTCTTGTTTCCAGCTAATTCTTAAGCCATATTACTTACTTCCCGTTCAAGTTATGCATGTAATGGGCTCATTCCCACATTTGCGTCTTTCCAAAATTTCTGTTCTAATAACTGGTTGTCATTACAGGATAGAAAATGAAGATGGCTACACTATATCATGCGATCTCTAACTGGTTTACAATTCTTCCCTACAGTTTTCTTCAGATCATTAAGTTAGCATTCTTAAGGCTCACAAAGAGTCTGATGTGATTAGCTTTTCTAGAGCAAACACAACCTCTGAACTTAAAGCTCAATACCACAAAGATTGTTATTGATTTGAAACTGACCTATTCAGGTCAGTTTCTGTTTAAATAAATAAATATAAAATACATAAATAAAATATATAAATGAAATAAATAAATATATTTATAAAATATAGAAATAAAATAAATAAATAAATAAAACTGCTCATGGTCTCTTTGGAGGTTTGCAAAAATCTCCCGCAAGAGGAGGAGGAAGGGAACATGTTGCTATTTAAACAATATCCTCTCTCCCTCCGAATCACATTGCTTTTGGCTTTTACCAGAAACTGCTGTCAAAATGCAATTTGTGGATATAACTGGTAAAGAAATACAGAAGAAAATTGTGCCTGCAGATATGACTAGTACTATTTCAGAAGACAGGTGCCCAAATGCAAGCAGATTGTGTCAAACCTCAAGAACTGTCATACAAGGCTCACCACTGCCTTAACAGATCCACCTGTAGATGCTAATGCTTGACATTTTGGCATTTAACCTTAGTCTTGCAAATTTCATGTCACCGGGGAAAACTGTTTCTTGTTCTTTATTTGTTTTGTAGTAACACTAAAACCAACATTTCAGAATAACAATAGCAAAGACTCAGTTTTGAGTTACTCCTAGATTGCAAACAAAGCAACAGATACTAAGCTGGCAAAATAAACAAGCAGAGAGAAAATAAGCCCCAAACTTACCTCATGTATTTGTCCCTACATGTCTCTAGAAACTTCTCCAGTTGTGTTGGTGTAATCCTATCCAACTGATACAAAACTCGTGGCTGAAAAGGAAATGGAACAGTTGGAGAAGGAATAGCTTATGAAGATGGAAAATAACTACATTATTACCCCCTTGAAACTGTTTACCTCTGTTGTGCCGTTGTCATTGATCCCATACTTGTCCCTTGTTTTTTTTATTTTCTCAGAAACACCTTTGATGAATTTTTTGATTTCCTGAAATTACATGAAAACAACAGTAAGCAAAGTTATGTTCTTCATATTGAGACCTTAAGTATGAAGGTATTTGATAAGAGATCCAAATGAAATGTTTAGAATAAAAAATTATCTGTACAATATGAAGAGAGAAACATCAAAACTTAACACACACACCAAATTCACTCTTGTGTAACCACAAATTAGTAGCAGCACATGAGGAATATGGTTGACACTGAATAAAAGCATCCTTCCTGAGCACACACTGAAAACAAAAGACTTGACAATGGTTGATCCTTCCTTCCTACTCACCACTCACCAAAACTTCAAAGTTCTCCCATCAAAAAAGTCATATTAAGTAAACCCTCAAAATCATTATTTTCTGAAAATACTGACACAAAAACCTTTCTCTCTCATTTCTTAGTATTCAAAATAAGTCAACGTGAAAAGACTGAAGCAATAAAATAAAGAGTGAAGAATACCTGCTGAATAGGTTTCAGAGATTTAAGACGTACTTTAACAGGGAATAGGGAACAAAAAGTAAATAAAATACAAACAAACACTCAAAACTGATATAAATATATCAATCTACCTAGTATAATTCAAATATCAACTTCTCCATGCTGTAGAGAGGTCTTGAAAAAAAGTGCATTCAACATGTAATATTAATACATGAGCCAGTCACTTTCTTATTAGATTATGCCAAAGTATGTTTTCACTGGAATAGAAAATGAAACAAGACCATTGGAAATATATCCAAAGTTTCTATGAAACACCATTCGGGCTTTGGGTATAGATATGTACACTAGAAGTCATGAAATATGATTAAGCTTGCTCACGCAAGTGGACTCTGTGTAAGTTATTACCATAAGAGGCTTACCAAAACCAAAACGTGAACAATAAGCAAGAGGGAATCATTTTCATCTACTTCAATAATGATTTAAGGAAGCCTCTGTGGAGGACCAACAAGTTAGATTTTGAGAGTCCATTTGTACCCTGACAGCCCGGCCTGCTAAACAGACCAAGTATCCCTTCTTCTTCACTCATTACTGAACTCTTTCCAACTACTGCAATAACTGAGCACTGAAAATTACTTGCAAAATTGAGTAAATATTTGAGCAACTGCCCTTTTTTATGACTCCATTCATAGACAATTATCTAAACACAATATATCATAACAGAATCCTCAGATTTTCAAAATATAACACTCTTAATGGTATTCCAAGTATTTGCAGACAGTTCATTATGTTCTGTGAATACTAGCGCAAAGTTCAAATGAAAGAATTCACAATAGAAATGTGCTGCTGGAATGGATGCTTCAAGTTTTTGTCCAGTTGGATGACACAAGTTGCATTCATACATTTCTGCCCCTTTTGCCCTGTAGTAAGTCACTGTAATTCACAAATGAAATATTGTGTGACTCGGAAGATTTTTTTGACCCTGAAATCTTAAGATAATTTTTTTTTCTAAAACAAGTTCTAAGCAATAATGTGGTATTGGCAAGATTAATATTTTTAATTTGGTTGGATTTAAAAAAAAAAAAAAAAGGAATACTAAAGGACTGGTGAATACTGGAGAAGATCACTCACAACACTTTATCTAGAGAGAAAACACAGCAGAGAGATCCTTTAAAAGTCACTCCACTTGGAAAGATGCTTCTTTTGTGGAGGGGTAGAAAGAGGAAAGGGAAGACAGAAAGCATGACACTAAGTTCTCCCTCCAGAACAACATAGACTAAGCTCTTTTGTGTTTTCATCTACTCATACAAAACCAGGGGAATAATAATAGTAACAACCACAGGAACCCAAAAGCCTTGTTATACTGATGGAAAAATTCGTCATGTGGCCATATGGGCTAAGTCTGCAGTTGGAAAGACAAAACACCAAATTAGCATTGCACAGACTGTAAATACCATGGTGGCCTATTTTATCATCAACTGTTTCTCTTTGACAGTCCCCCAGTACTAAAATATATTTGTTTGTTTGTTTTTAAACTTCTAACAAATTAAATCATTCTGTTACATATCTTCCTGCAGAGTAAATGTAGGGTACTCTAATGATACATTATTTCCTTGTACTAGAACAAAGAAAGAATGGTGAGAAATGTATGATACATCTCTGAAGAGGAATGTTTTCCATTGTCAAAACGTTTTACTCAAGCAAAAGAGAAAATTAACTATTCCTCTCAACTTTCATTTATATTTTGGCACTTTATGTAAACTATGGCTTAATTGACATTAAAAATAAAACATAGAGACAGGCTAAGCAGAGTCAGCTGTCTGAGTTATCATCTTCAGTGCAATGCTCCATCAGCACACCTATGCAGCTCTCACAGCATGCTCAAGAAGTCATTTTTCCCACAGTCCAAACCTAGAAAGTTTTTTTGTCAGGACAATTTTACCAAAAAGGCACCAAACTGACTCAGTGATCTACACAGCCAACACTCAGTGAAAATAGCAGTTTGCATGCATCCAGGGTATAAAGCCTCCTCACTTGTATATGTGGTACATGTACCATTTTTACGTATCTGAAGCACTGCCAATTCCAACGCTGAGAAGCTCACTGAATTACTACTGAATTACCAAGTGGTACAGAACATTCCACGTGATTCAGCAGGAATCCTTTCAAGCCCAGTCAGACCCACCAGGCAAGTTCTCCATGTGCCACTCACTGTCTAAGCCTTTTTTAGATTTGCATCACACTTCCTAGTGCTTGTCTCCTACCATCTCAAAAAAAAAAAAAAAAAAAAAAAAAAAGATTATTTATTTATTTCTAGATTCTGTAGGTTTCTAATTTTTTTTTTTTGTAATTTCCATATAAAGAAAAATATAAATTTCCCTTTAGCTGTATCTTTATATATTCAAGTATGCTTGCATTACAGCATTAAGCCCTGATGAGCTGTTCCAGCCAACAATATACTTTTTCATCAGTTTATTTCCCTCCAGTGCGGACACAGCACAGGCTGAAAGAATGCTAGTCTGCTTGAAACAGGCTATTTGGACATCCTATTTTCTAGACTGGAGTGGATAAGGCCATTATAATAACCTCCTTGTACAATAACAGCAGTAAAAATGTCTCTGTTCTGGAAGGGAAAGGTAGAGGAAGGGAGAGGAAAAGATCAAAAACCTCATGTTAATATCCATGCAAATTCAAAGAATGAGTTTTACAATGGAATGTTGTGTACCAAAGGAAAGGTTCCTCAAATTCTCAAATTCTTCAAAATCTTCCAATTTGACTCTGGGAATTAATTCATTCATGGTTTTCATCACTAAAAAAGGACTCGGTCAAATTATTGGGATGAACACCTACCTCAGAATTTAACAAGCAGTAATGTATATATGCTAATCAGTTACTTTAGCACTATACACACATCTTTAGCTAAAAGCACTAACATTAATGCTCACACAGTGCACACACATGCTACAATTACCTCATTATATTTTTCATAACCTGTTTCAGTTAATGTCTTCAAGGACGAACAGAAAAAAAAAAAAGAAAAGGAAAGAAGAAAATGTAACCGTATCTGAAACTTAAAAATCAGAAGTGAAGCTCATAACCATTACTGTGATGTAAATAAATTACCTTATTTTCAGAAGGACAGATATAATTTTTACTGATATAATAAAAAAAGAATCACACCTTAAAAAGAACAGCATCATCTCTGAAGCTGAATACCATTGTGTATATATATATATATATATATACATGGTATATATACCATATATAATTTTATTTTTTCTTTACAGGTGCATAAGATATAGAGAGTATTTCAAATACATATATAATAGATTTTTCTGCTCTGCTCCAGCAGTGTAGTTACAAATCCAGTTTCTTACTGGTTTTGTCACCTCACAGTTCTGAAGCGCTCTGATCTACTCAAAAGAACCCCTCCAAAAGCAGGTTACTAAATTCATATTGTAGTCATTGCCAGATATCAGAAAGTTTGTCAAGCAAACATTTTCACATATACACACCTGGGTTAACTCTACAGGTTTTAATCAATTTCTCCTAAAATATGAAAGTATCTATACTTGAGACTAAGTACTTAAACACTCAATACTCTTTTGAACAGTTTTTCACAAATCAAAGTGAAAAGCCATGTGAATGTTCTCTCATCATTGGAAGACATGCAGGTATCTCCCAGAAGATAAAGCGCTTTCAAGCAAAACACTTCATGTGGCTGAAGACTTTTGCTGGGTTAGTATCAAAGGAAAGCAACATACATAGGTATAAGTATAGAATTTATATTAAAGGAGAACAAGCAAATGCCTTAAAGAAGTTATTCAGAAGGTTGATAATATCAAAATCAATGTATAAAGAGGATCATGACACTTGATGCTCATAGTCTGCTATATATAGTAATTGAAAATTATTTAATTTCTGACATCCCAGATGAAGCATGTTAATTACTGTACCATTTCATGCTATAAGCAGAAATTCCAACAAGGCATCTCAGATCAGATCAATGCTCACTCCTACACAAAAAAAAATCACTAGATTCTTCTCTAATTTCTTGTTTCTGTGGTCAGTGTGAACATCTACTATAGCAAGAACTACTTGTCCTACCTCCACACCCCCAAAACATACAGAAATATATTAACAAGCAAACTTCTATTCTTGCTATTAATGCATAAAATTCATCCATTTCTCCTGCAGATTGATAAAACCATTCTATTTAACTTCCTTGATTTATAAGCTATAGTTAATAGATGTGATAGCAAAGTGAGATGATGGCTTCACCTGCAGAAAACTGTCTCGGCAGCAAAGAAATTCATTCTTCTTCATGATAGATTCAGATGTTAACACCAATTCATTTTTACTAAGGGCTGGTTCACTTCGGCATGGATATACAGCCTTAAGAGGGAAAAAAAATACTTCACAACTTCACATAAAGCATACAAAACTTTATCATAAAGACAGAACAGAGATAAACAGAAACATATAACTGATTAACAGTTTAATTTAAAAAAATACACAAGAATTCTATCTTTGACTATTGTGAAGGGCCACATACGTGTCTTCCTAATGAAACTTGAAGGGATATGCATGCACATTCCTAATTGTTTCAAATCATCACACTCAGATTACGGAAAAAAAAAACAAAACACAAATAAACTATCCTGTTTTCACACATCACAACATTTATGAAGTTATTCATCAGTGTGCTAGGTCAATGACTTAAGAAGCAGTCCAACATAAAAAACATGCATGTCTTGATTTATTTATGAATTACTCTGTAATTTTAATCTTACTTAGTACACAACTGAAACAATAATAACTTGGCTACTGTTTAGTATTAAACCTTAGAAATATACCTTAGCACTAAAGAAAACTCTCCTTTTCACTGCTCGTTGAGTTTAGTTCCAGCTGCTCTGTTCTGATGTAAAAATACATTTATAACTCTTTGCATACACATGCTGGAAGGCTGTGATGAGGACCACCATAAAGGTGATTTAAAAAAAAAATATTTAATTGAAACAAGTCTCTGCATAATCTCTGCATAATTTTTTACTTCCTCCTTTAAGCTTTGCAGTCTTTTCACACTTCCAACAAAAAGTTCAGTAATACTTACTCTGATATTGTCTAGAACCCGCTTGAATTCAAGTGGTTCATCTTTCCCTTCCATAGCTGCAGGATCCAAGCCATCTCCTCCATAAATAAACTGAATAATGTCACCAGTAGAACTTCTGACTGTCAAATCATACTGCGAACAAAGATCTTCAAGAGATTTTACCAGCCGCCTCTAAGGGAAAAAAAGGTACAAGGGAGGTAAATGGGATCTCTTTAAAAATATCTATTAGTTGGGATTCCATACATACACCTACAGCTTCACTGTACATTCCCCTAAGTATTAAAAGCAGAAATAATAAAATTTGTTTTAAATTTTGTTCTCCCATTGTTTCCTATACTACAGAAATTCTATATGCTAAACTCCCATAACCTATTTTAGTCCAAAAAGTTTTTACAGTCGTTTATGACAAAGAAACTTAATTTTCCATGTCTCTTATTCTTCCAATCGGGCTTGTTTCTCAAGCAACACCAATTTTTTTGTATGGCAGCACAACAATTATTTTCACTGACATAAAACAGAGAGCTCATCCTTTAAAGCCAGTAGTCGCCATTTGTCCACCAGTATTAACTACCTACTGTCTCTTATATTGATTCACTGTAGTGGGAAATCCCTTTGCTACCATTTTCCCTCCTCCATCTCCCAATAAAGAAGGCATGCTATGAATCATCAGTGGTTAAGAACCTTTTTACTTGAAAGATGGATTTCATCATTCTATCAATGTAAATTAGCTCACTAAGGAATATAAACCGTTTTTTTTTTTTCACTGAGGAAGAATAAGTTGAGATAAAATAGAAGTTAAGAGATGTTTTATTCCAAATTCAAAGTGCTATTTATATAGGGTAAAAGTTGACAACAAAAAATATTTGCAGGTTGCACACTATATTCACGTACATATGTATATACAAAAATTGTTCTTGAAGTTTGGGAGACAAGTGGTCTCACCAGCTTATCACCCCAACATGAACTCATTTCGCTAACTTCATGAAGTTGCTTGTGTACTTCTGAATGAAATCTCAGCCCCACATTATCTTGTTTTTTCTAATGACTACTACCTTGGAGAAATGCCTATACCTAAAATTCTAAACTATTTCCATTAAAGTCTCCAGACTGTTCATAGGAGCAAGGAGCTTTGGCAGAGGGTCATTTGTTTTTACAGGAGATACAGCCAAAAACACTAGCAACCTACAGAACTTTAAGTCGAAGTCCCTACTACCCCAGGGACCTGCTACTTGAAGATGACAGATACTGAAAGCGAGCTTTAGCCATATAATACTGTATCTGAAAAATTACTCAGATCTATGTTATGATACTGATACCTGGACACACCTTACCACATAGCACTCAGATGCATTTTAAGCAAACACAGTACCTAAGAAAGCAGTTCTCAACAATTACCTAGAATAAGGGCTTTTATCACCCATATCCAACTCGAAACAGCTTAATACAAGCATATTACTGTGCCGTTGCTTGAGGTCTGTTTCACAAGCCTCATGTGTGTACTGGAGAACAGAGCCAAGTCTATTCTGCAGTACAAATTCTGTTAAATCAAAAATAAACAACAAAAACCCCTGGAAGATGTATTTACAACCCCCCAACAAGCACAAAAGAAATAGTCTCCTTTGGCAGGTTAGATAAAATCCCCACCCCACTGACAGTTACCTGCATGTATCCAGTTTCAGCTGTTTTTACAGCTGTATCAACCAGACCTTCTCGACCAGCCATTGTGTGAAAAAAAAATTCAGTGGGAGTCAACCCAGAATAGAAGCTGTTAGCAACAAAGCCTTTTGCTGCTGGAAGCTACGTGAAAGAGCAGAAAAAAAGTTAAAATGCAAAGTCTATTCTTTAGGTATGTAACAAAAACATATGTTAAATGTGGTCTAAATTCCTACAAATAGTCAGCTGATACACAAACATGGAGCAATTGACTCTATTACATTTAGCTCTTAAACTCAATGCATCTTAGGTCTGACTCAGGCTTCAAAACCCTCATCTACGTTTGCAAAACTAATACACTAGATTTTACACTGCCAACAAACCTTCCCATGCCTCTAGCCTTTATTTGCAAACACCACACCAACTTCTAACTATTCAGCTTCCCTTATTGCTAAAAGAATTGAAAGGATGATATGAACATTCATGATGAAAACTAAGGAATCCAGAAAAAATATAGAGGTATGTAAATAGCTAACTCTTTTGAATGGTTTCCTATCACGACTCAGAGAAGTTCTTGACAATGAATTTGATGCAGGTATCCCACTGAGCCAAACAATACCATGCTGTCTCCATGATCACATGGAATAATGTATAGACTACAGTAAGTTTAATCATTTGACACTATTTAATAGACAGTAGTTTCTAATTCAGTAAAAAAGATGGAGTTAAATTTGACATTCCTCCCCATATAATACACGGAGGTCTTCTTCCTTTTTTTTTTTTTTTTCAGGAAATAAAAGATTTTATGTCACAGAATTCAGAAAATCACATTTGGACATTTAGTGACACATGCAAGTGTCATGGCTATCATCCCACACAAGCTAAATAACACACCAAGTCTGACAACTGGTATAAAGAACTTTCTCTACTGATTGTTAAATTCAGACAAGCAGTTAAAACAAAACAATGAATCTCATGGATTTGGATTAACAAGTGCATGAAACTCCCCATTGTTCCATGTATAAAGCAGCCCATGATACATATCCTAGTTGAAAAAAAACAAAAACAATCCAGACTCCAGAATTGTTTATCTGGCATGTTTCACCTGACTGAAGAGCTTAACACACCTAGCAGTTATCCTGAAAAGTCATAGTACAGTGAAACAGAATGCAAGACATATATTTTAACAAATTATTTTCAGGACTATCAAAAGAGCCAAAATGCATCATCAGACTAAATTTAAACTTACTGAATTAGAAAGGTCTATATCACAAGAAACAGCAAGGCTTAACTATAAATACTCAAGCTAACGAAATGTCCTACAGCAATTCACAACATTACTGTTAATTCCCAAATTACATTCAGAACCCTTTATGTTTAACCCTTTATGTGTGTTAAACACATATGTTTAACCATATGTTTTTGTTTTCCTGCACCATGCCATGACACCACATCCTATCATGCATCCTTCTCAAAACGGTTCAACTTGTCTCACTTCTCTTTCCATTGGACTGTAAGCATATGCAATTACCTTAGAATGCTTCTCAAAATGAGGCAAGGACCTGTTCTCAAATCCATCAGGAACACGGGACCCACTGATAGCCTGTTGACCTACACATGCAATCATCTGGGATATGTTAATGAAGGAGCCTGAAAGGGAAGAAAAAAAAACTGAGTGATGAGGAATAACAGCATTCCTCTGATGACTCACTTGTCTTCAGTTCTATGATTATCTGTTAGTTTAGTAATTCTTCAAAAATGCATTTAAAATTGCATCAGTTAAAAAAAAAAATAATTTTCTATTTGTTGTTCTGTTCATATCAGTATTTATGCAGTAACTAAATTAGTTATCCATGTAGCTAAAAACCCTTTTTATTTTTTAAGTCACAGACATTCATGCCACCACTATTTTACTATGGGCCTTCTATTATCCTAATTTTTATTATGGGTTGTGGTTTATAAATCCCATGATCTTAACCTATATGTTTTGCTTCACAATTTTTTCAACAAGCATATTTAAAAATTTTTTTATAATCAAGGTTTCAGTGTCTACCAAGATTCCTACAACAAATTAAGCCTTAGAGAATTAAGTCACTAGTTATGAAGACTTATTTGCTGAACATTTTTTGCAAAAGATGACTCCCACATTCCCAAATTATACATTTGATATAGCCTTCTTTTTAGATTTCAGTATCTCTGTAAGACTTTGAAGAATGTCTTCAAAATGCAGTAGTCTCATGCCACCCTGAGGCTTTCCACAATTTCTAGACAGAAACAGAGTTAAGCAGTTTCTTCAAAATCTTACAAAGAACAAAGGAAAGCTCAGACCAGAATTTGAGTATAAAACAAATATAGGATATCCTTTAGAAGGGAAACAGTGAAAATGGCTTTATGATTTCCAATTCTTAAAGAAACATTTCTGGATGATTTTTGTGTATGATACAGATAATTGAAATGGGAAGTGCAACTGATGTCTCTATGCTGATTAACTAATTCAAGATCAATATTTTAAGAACATTTAAAGTTCTCAGAGGATGCTTTTCAACTTGTACCAAGACATTAAAGATGCAATAAAAAGTACTTTAACAGTACAGTAAAAAGAAATGAAAAATTTGCTTTCAGTTAACTAGAGCCAAACTCTATTTGTTGAGGAGTCACTTTGAATTCATATAATGTGAATTTAGTACTTGCACAACTGTCTGTATAAAACAAGCTATAAAGACAGAACAAGTAACTCTGAGAAAAAAGATGGAATGAGCAAACTAATTCCAAAGCTCGGATACCTTTAGAACCACAGAGAGCCATAATAAGGGGACTATTGCTCTTGTCGAGTTCTCTGAGACAGGCACTGCCAGCATGATCTCTGATAACTGAGAGTTCTTTAAGGATCAAAGCCTGAAATCCAAGAAAACATAAATGTGATATTAGTTAAAAATACCATACACAAACAATATGCTATCACTTGCTCACAATACTGTCAGTAGTCAATAGGAACTTCAAAGCAGAATTAAGAGAAGGTTAGATGTTTCTTTGGGTAAAGTACGTTGTAACTTAACTCATGTAATTTTCTATTTTGCTGCACAATAATTCTTTGTTGGGCTAAGACATGGGTACCTGGGGACATTACAACCTCTTTTGCTAGCAGCACCAGCTTAAGCTAATTAAACCAAATGTTGAACTGAGCTTTTCACTGTTCAATGTGAAAGATTGCCACAAAAAAAGTAATTTTGGACTTAAATTATACATTGCCAGTATCTTCAATTTTTAAGAAAACAGTAATATCAAAAACCATAGGCATCTCAGAAGAACAGTGAAAAACATGGCAAAACTTTGTTCAGGCAGAGTACAACTGCAGACTAGACAACTGTGGCAGTTAAAGCACAGCATAGGATTTTCTACCCCTCCCTTTCCCTTTTATACTTCCTTTCTACTTTTTAAAAGACAAAAAACAGACATTGATAGCCAATAGAACAAACATCTAAAACCATTAAAGGCAATGAAGACGGTATTTTTCAGTTGACTTCATTAAGAGCCTGTCCATATGTTTTTGGGCAACATTCATTGCTCTCTATCAAAGTTTTCAAAGAAAACCAACCAACCACCAAAAAAAAAAAAAAAGTAACCAAAGTACACTCAACCTTTGCCCTCATTAGTAAAAAGAAAAAAAAAAAAACACACAAAAAACAGAAGTGTAACTAAGAGTACTTTTTACTGAACTAGATTCATTGCTGTTAGTGTTCTTAACTAACTTACTACACATGGGTACATGGAATTAACTCTGTTTCAATTACCTGTGTAATTTTATTCTGTCACTTCCATACTTCCAGTGGGGTGGGAGGATCCCAGCTGTTAACTATTTAGCTAGCATTTAACATAGAGATGCCTGTATGCGTCTAAGAGAAGAGACAGACAACTAAAGTTGTGTATATAAGGGCCCTACTTGCTCGTATTTTGAAGTTTCAGTAGACACCTTTGAGCTTTACAAACTATGTGCATATATTCATGAACTTTCTACTGTATATATATATATACACAGTGATTCCATTTAAAATGTTTACCTCTAGTGTCTCTTCTGCCGTACAACCAGGCTGCTGCTGTAGTTTTCCAGTATTCAGAGCTTCAATATACTCATCACATTTCTTATAGCCAGCATTCAGGAGTTCATACTTAGCTTTTAGCAGGCCCTGACCTGGTGTGACATCACCAATTCCAATTGAAAAGCCACGATTAGCTGTCATAAAACAAAGGATTATAGGATCAACTCAATCTGACAGAATAAAGTAGAAATGAAAATCAAGAAACGTTATAATTTGTAAACATCAGCTGTTTCACCATTTGTCAGTTTCAGCTGCTTGGCTTGTAGTGTTTTTGTTTGTTTGTTTCCTTGATTGTTAAATGGGATACATTGTATTTGAAGCAAAATTCTTGCTTTATTGTTGTTTGTTTTTTTTAATCTGCTTTAGGATACTATTTCACAAGGAAATTTACTTCAGTGTTACTTACACAGATAGACAGGAGCAAGCCTGGCTAGTCGTGACATGGCATCTGCAGCTTCTACCTGTCCCCAGTCTCTCAGCAAAATGTAAAAGATATTGTTCTTGGATCCAGAACCTAAGGTTCCTTTGTCCATGCTGCCACTCATTAACTCACTGTTTTGAATTGTGACATCTACAAGTAGAAAAGGAAAAACAATTCATATTTTTTCTAAAACATTACCTAAACTCTTGTGATCAGTTATGGAGCAGGTTTGTAAATAAATGCATTGCTGACCAAAAAAGAAGGACAAAAAAAAGATAGCTATTTACCATTTCTGTAGAAATGTTTAAGGGGACTATCTACTAACTAATTTTACCCAGAAAAGCAAACATTTATGTATTACTTTTCCTCCTTAGAAGTGCAACTGTATCTATTTTTAAGACTTCTGAGAAACTTCTGAATAATCTTTTTCATTAAAGACAAAATAAATAATAAAATGCTAAACTTAGCTTCCTTAATCAAAATCAAGGTTTTAATCTTATCTGTCCAGAAATAAAGTCCTCTGTTGTGCATAGCAAATGACAGTTCTTGATTTATTTATTTTTTATCACACCAACAAAACTTCAGAAACTAAGCTACAGTTCTCTTTGTTCAAAGATTCTGATAATCATTTCACCTCTGGAAGCACAGTTTAAATTTAAAAGACATAGTGGAAGCAGATGTCTCATAGTGGAAGCATATTATAAAGACATCCATCCTGACTTTAGCCCTGTGGCCTGTACATAATGCCTCTTTTCGACAACCTCCTTTTGCTTCATCACCAACCTTCCATTTCAGGCACTGAATCTTCCTTGTGACTTTCAGCCTTTATGCAGTTAGAAAAGTATCTTCTGCACATAAAATTTAGACATATTTGGTATGCAAACCATACAATATATGTTAATTCTTAACTTCATCATTCATCTTTCGAAGAACTTATATATGAAGATAGATCCAATTTAAATCATTTTCTGCAGAACACTCTAAATGTATGCGTATGATACTCTACACTCAGTATTTTCAATACCAATTTAAATACTCATCTTGAACTGAAAGTCCATGGTCTTTACCACTTACTACAAAATGGTAATAGGATTTCTTGAAACTTCAGAGAATTTGCACAATTTTTGAATAGAATTAGTGTTAGCTAATTAGCTTTAGGAACCAAGTTTTTTCAGAGAACTAAACAGAGCCATTCAAAGGTTTTCCGCAGCACGCGTTACTCTCAAACACGAAAAACCGGAATTCAACCTATACCTCCCAGAACAGAAAGGATGCAGAGGAAAGACAAAGGTGTATGTTCACACAAGAGAATAAGATGGATTGTTTTGTTGCCTTTCACCCTACATTCTCTCAGGCTGAAAAAAATAGTATCTTCATGTTTATAGCCAACTTGACAACCACAGAGTGATCCTGTCTAACAAACAAATCTCAATCTGGTGTGGAGTGTATCCAAGTCCTCAATGGGAATTCTTTCTCACATCACCATTGCATGCCTGAGTTACTATAAACCGATGCTTCCTCCCTATGCACCTATGTTCCTAAGCTCAATTTCATGATCTGCAAGGAGATGAGCTAATCCCACCTGCTCAAGTTCTCTTTCAACTGTTACTACATAATGTTAAATGATTAATTGGAGAGGCCTTGCTCATCTCCTACAGCCTCTTCAACCCTGATGCTGTGCATGCCATTTGCCACTCCAACTTCCCCAAATGGCAAATGGTCTGACCTCCAAAAGATCCTTATCTTCCTGTCCTTTATTTCCTAACTCCTTTCACTGTTTGATTTATAATCATTGCATCACTACCCTACTTGAGATATTTAATTTTTTTCCCATTTGCCATCCACATAATCACTTCCTAAGCTTCTTGGCTTTTCTTATCTTTCTTACCTTTAAATACTTCAGTATCATAATAAGCCTAACATCACATAACAGAAATTTTATTACAAAACGCTTAAGTCTTTTCTTTGATGTTCAGCATGACTTCAACTTTTGAGAAAAAAAATAATGCATTTTTTTCCATTTCAAGAATACTAATGCAAGGCAGTGCTTTAATTCCTCCAGTAAGCTCAACAATGAACTCAACAAAACAGTATCTACAGTTTTGCTGAAGGCTTCTAAAACAGAGCTTTAAAAGTGTCACTCACAAGAATCATTGTAACACAGGTCTTCCCCTTTGCCACAATACTGTTTGCCCTTGGTTCGCAGATTCGCTTTCACAGGACAGTCATCACTGGGTTTGAGAATGAGGCTGAAAACCTGCTTTCCTGTCCAGAGTGTTACAGGCTTAGGAAAACAAAAGGACAAGAAATAGGGTTACAGAGTTTATGATACAACAGCAGTAAAACCAGCAAGCAGGAATTGAATCGTAAAATTTTGTTTTTAATATGTAATCTTTCTATACTGAACTATACTTGTGGCAGTCCATAATAGCATTATTATGAATACAGAAGTATTATGCATTTTGGAAAATATATAAGACCTGATTCACAAATGGCTCTCCTTTACATAAAGGTATGTGCATGAATTTACTGAAACATACTATTTCTCCCTTTGTCACGTTTCCCTTCCTGATTAGAAAATTTAAAAAAAAATACAATGCCACATTTATTTCATTTCCCAAGTATGGTGCCACATTTATATTTAATTCTTTATATAATGCTTCCTATTTAAATTTTTAGGAGGCTCAACATTCATACAACTATGTACTTCACTCACCTGTAGTTAAACAGAAGTAACTGTCACATCTAGTGCTAAATTTACTTATTTTGAATGACAGAAGCAGTCAAAGAAAAAGTACTCCTTGTTATCAAAAAGTTCATATAAATTCATAAAGTTTACATTAAATATCATTGCTAAATGCTCTGAACTTGCTTTACGTTACTATTGTTATTATTATTCATTCAAATTTTAGTTTCTCTTTCTGAATAATTCAGGAAGTTCCCTTAATATTACACATATAACAGTTTTAAAACTATCCATCGACTATAAGAACGTATGTATGAATACTTAATGACTACTTAACAAGTTAGAAAATGTACCAAATTCTCTCTAAATGAGTATTTGCCTTATATACAAGATTAATCAAATAGAGGTTCCCTTAAGTATATTTGAAGGAAGGCTTAATAGACTCTAATCCATTCTAATACATGATACTACAGGTCTTTTCCAAGTTTCTAACTGATACACAGATATTCAGCCCTTAACAATACTTTTTTGTGTACATGATGTAACAAATCACATAGCGCTCATTCTCTTTAATCTTCAACACAGTGACAGGTTAACAGTTAAAAGATACTATCACTCAGGTTTGACACCACCTACAGTTGGGATATTGAAACCTAGAACTGCTGAGCATTTTAACACTACTTCAGCACACCCTAGGAACAACAGTTTCTCAACCTAGCCCCATGCTAGGTTTGTCTGCTGTATGACCATCAAGAGGTGGTCTTGGAGTAGGCAGTAACAGGACAATAGCCAAACTGTTTGAACCACAATGGATTCCTGTATCTGGACCATACTATGCAAGGTTGACTCTGTTCAGTCTCAGGAACCATCAAACAACTTGAATTCTGATCTTTGCACTTCATGCCTTAGAGTATCAAATATAATACAAAACAAACACCAGAAGACACAACGACTGTCTCTCGGCTGAGAACATCAACATGGGTCAAGAGAACAGATGGTAAGTCTTTGTAATGTTAAAAAATAGTTTGACACACCTTCAAAATTGCTGGAGGTGGAAGACGAACTTTAATTTTTTCATCCTTGCCAACCAGGATAGAAGCAATGATTTGACAGGCTTTGGCTCGATCAAAAAAGGTATCTTTTAGTGTAAGAAGATAGGCACCTAGAATGTAAAACGCGATTAAATGCAAAAGCTATTATAAATATTAAAATATATTTAAAAGCTATGTTTAATACTATTCATTATTAATAATTTGATTCTGATACTACTAACTTAATTTGATTCTGATACTTACTCTGCAAAATACCATGAAACTTCCAAAAATGCACAAAGACAGTGCATTGCTACAATCTGTTCTCTTTCACACACTATCCCATAGGTCAAAAATAAAGCCTTCGTATTCCTTTTTTTAACACTTTCTCAATATTCACTGGACTTTTCTCAAATAGATAAGTAAACTTTAAAGTACTTACTATTGGTTAAAACTCATTTTAGGATAATGAGTTCAAATCCTCTCCCATAATTATAAGGAGTTCACATTACATAATGCACATGAAGACATGAAATATCTACTTTTGAAATCAAAGAAAAGATTGCAGAACATATGCAAAGCTATTAAAAATTGCACCTACAAAGGTTGACAGTATCAGAAGAAATCTGAAGAACATCATTATATTTCAGACTGACAATGGCCTTACTCTCATACTGTCAATTTGACTTGTGAAAGGAGAAACTTTTAAATTAGTAGAGAAAAATTATAAAGAAGAGGGAAGTGATTCTTAAAGAACTGTTAAATCACACAGCTCTAAATCAAGTTTATGTACATACCTGTAAGGAAATCTTGAATAGCAGCAATGAGAGGTTCTCCATTTCTTGGTGTTACCAAGTTTGCTTTAGTCTGTAAGACATAAGACAAAAATTACACACTTGAAGACACACACTTGTTGTTCAGCGGTAAACCTATTGTTTAAGACAGTTTTGTTAGCAATGGTAACAAAACCTTCTTCTTCTGATTGTAGCTAAGCCTAGCTACTGAGGATCTTGCATCTATTTGAATTCTTTGGAAACTTAACTAAGAACCAAGAGGCAAAGTCACTTTTCAGTCTCTTGCATAATACTACTAGGCTTTGTCAGGATCAGCAATTAAATCTGACACTGAGGTCAAAGTAGGTAGCCACTTCACTCCTGAATATTTTTAAAATATATCACTCACATGCACTAAATATTAAAACCAGTATGTTTTAACGTGGATCACATTCATCAACTAAAATTGTTCTCCTCAGACATCAATCTACAGTAAAGAGATTGGTTAATAAAATCAGGGTAATTAGTATGAGTTCCCAGTCATACTAATTACTGCTCCAGTTACTTATCCCCAGATCCCCACCTGGGCAGCACATGGCTGCCACAGCTTTGCCTGAACTATTTGCAGGCCCACAGAAACCTAGATCATGCACTTCATTTTTCCAGTACATGCACACTATTGCTGCCTCATTTCCAGTTTAACCATAATCCTGAAACTGCAGGCTGTCAGACCAGAACATGCACCTGTTCAGTAACAGCCACCACCCTATCTTGGTAGCAGTTGTTAACAGTAGCAAGTAGAACTATACTGATGACATGTACTTACTTAAAAGTTCTGGATTTTCTAGGAATGCTAAATACATATCTATTAGACTACCTATAAGGCTAACAGCCCTAGTTATTCTGAATTCCCTTCTGCATGATTTCAGGTAGCTTCACAGCTACATACTATCCATACCCAGGGATCTTAATGATTATTTCAGATTTCACATGCAACATAAGTACTACAAGGCATGGCCTAACTCAAGACCAACTTGACCTGCATACCCCCATTAAAACAAGTGCTTCTGCTTTTGCTTCTTCTGTCTGAGGAAGGTGAAGGTTCATCTCATCTCCATCGAAGTCTGCATTGTATGGCGTACAGACACATTCATTAAATCTGAATGTCCTATGAGGTTTTACTCTAGCCTGTAAACAGAAGAAGGGGGAAAAAAAAAGTGATGCACATGCAATCAAGCATGCTAACAGATGAAAAAACATGCCCGAATGCCTTATAAATGCTTATAGGCTTTATACTTTCTCTTATTAGACATGAATGAAAATTTCTGATCATAGGATTCAACTCAGTCAGAAAACAGACTTGGATTATATTACACAAATGTACCTAAGTTGCATTAAAAGAAATATTTATACAAAGCACAGAACACCATATGCTTTGTAAAGACCACATCAACTCTGCAAAAATTAAATCCTTACACAGGAACAGATACTATCTGTTCACTCATGGCTATTCACAGAATCGTCCAGGCTGCATAGTTACACAGTTACACATTAATTCCCATGCAAACAGCACCTCATTCATGTTTGTCCCTGCAGTTAGAGAAGAAGCTGTTTATTTCAAACAGCAGCAAAGGTAGGCCACCTAATGTTCACATGATGTATTACCTGTCTGCTAGACTGTGTGCACTTACAATGTGAGCCATGATGCTCAGCTTATGAAGAGAAGGTTGTCGGTTGAACAGGACTATATCACCATCTATAAGATGTCGCTCCACGATATCACCAAACTTCAGCTCCTGGGCCATCTTCTCTCGGTTTCCATATTTCAAAAATCTTATAGTAACACATGACAACGAAGTCAGAAGACATAAAGACAACTGCAAATAAATCCCTTGTTTATAAGGCAAGTTCCTCCATTGAACATTGGAGCATTTGTACTACAATGACTAAAAGCCAGAGCTGGTGTTGATCGCATCATTAAACATCAGTCTTGTTGCTATTTTAAATAACGAACAGATTTTTAATGTTACTTAAAACTATAGTTATTACTACAGGAACTAAGAAAAAGGCTAATCCATACAAAGTATTTGTTTCAATTGCATCATGGAGAATAGGCCGTTTCAGTCACAGACAATTATGTTGTGTATCATAGCATGGCTTAGGTTGGAAGTAACCCTAAAGCTAATCTACTTCCAACTCCCCTTCCGTGGACAGGCACACCTCCCACTACATCAGTTTACCCAGGCCCTCATCCAACCTGGTCATGAACAATTCCAGGAATGAGGCATCAACAGCTGCTCTGTGCAACCTGTTCTAGTGCCTCACCACCCTCATAGTGAAGACTTTCCTCCTCACATCGAATATAACCCCCCTAACACCCTTTTTTTAGTTAAAAACCGTTCCCCTTTGTCATATCACTATCTGCCCATGTAAAACATCACTCTCCACAAGAAGTCAATATCCATAGACTGACTGCAGATTAGTCCTCCCATAAAAAAGGCCAGCACAAAGTTACCAATATTGTCTGCCTCCACTCGTCACCTGTCAATATGACCCAAAATGCACGTCTCATTCCAGTTCCTATACTATCTACAGTATCTTAGCCTCTATTCTAAATAAAAGACACTCAGTCATAAAGAAACCTAATTGCAGTTCACTATCCTTATTATGTGCACTTGATATTTAAATCCAACATATAATCTCATAAGGTTTAGTGTGTGAGTTCTTTTTAGGTGATGATTTTTGTTACTGCCTTTTATGAAAAATGCTAAAAATGAAGATCCATTTTAACCCTTGTAGATATTACAGGTTTCATACAACAGTAAGAATGAGTTGGTGAGGAGAGATGAAAAGTGAATCATTAATGACAGGTACCTTTTCATCTGTGTGTGCCTTTGCTGAATGAAGTTGGCTCCAGGATGAACATCAGGACCATTCCGGACAAGTTTCCTCATAAAATTAATATTTGCTTTGTTAACCTGTTGCATAAAGATTTCAATCAGGAACAAGCAAAATATGTTTCAAGACCTCTTGTTTTTGCTGGTGTTCTGTGTTTTCAAATTTTAGGCTCAACTGAAAATTCCCCTCACAGCCTCAGCTGCTGAAAGGAACAGGCAGGAGGAAATAGAGGAAGAAAGTTTAAGCCTGTTTTAGAGCACAGCATCACAGTGAAATTACATTAAGAAATCTGGGAAGTAAATTCAGAAATTGAAAAAAACCCACAACCATTCCTTAGACAGTTACACCAATGAACATATGAAGCTATATAAAAGTTTAAACAGCAAGCTGAACCATTCTCTCTTGATGTGTGTGTCACTCCTTACCCCATATGCTTTCACAGTACTTGTATATATCTGATACTACAAGCTTCACTTACCAGCAGCAACAGAACTGGCAAATCATTGAATGACATGCTGAACATATAAACCACACATTTACTCCCTCTTACAGACAGACCATGAAGAAGGACAAAACTGATATATGTTTAAAAAACAAAAAGGTACAGAAGTTTTGGTTCTGTACTACCCACCTTTTCAGGAAAAGTTAATATTTTAGCAACATGAATAGGCACTGCTACTTCATCTATTCTTAAATTAGGATCTGGGGAAATGACTGTTCTGCCAGAGAAATCCACTCGCTTTCCAGACAGATTACCTCTAAAACGACCTAAAAAAAACAGCAAGTGAAAAACTCTCTTAGAGAAAGTTGATTTCAAAATGCTGTCTGCTAAGAGAACACATTAGAACACCTTTCAATATGCATCACAGTAGCACAACACAATAGTAACAAAGACGTGCTTTGGAATATCAAATAGTTGTGACTTCATTAAAAACAGCTTTGTAGACAAACCTTGCTTTCCCTTAAGTCTTTGAACAAAACCTCTGGTCCATTTTTTAGGTGCCATGTTCAGAGGAATTCCCGAGAGCTCACTGTTAATGTACAGGGCACACTGCAACTGAAGGAAGTCCCAGTCTTCCATTATCATCTGTGTTTTGGCTCCTGATATCCTGTGCTAAACAAAATAGTCACCCAGTTCAGAAAATAAGCATAGAAATAGACTAAACTAGTCAAGGTGTTTTTTTCTGATATTGAACACTTTGGAAAATAATGTTAAAAACCCTTCATAGTCACAGAAATGAAAAAGGCACAATTACTTTACATCACTATAGCATAACGCTGTTCACAAGAGAACCCAACAGAAAACCTAATTGCTTATGACTAGCATCAACACTCACAAAAATATGCATTTGTTTAAATTGCTATTTTTTTCCCAAGCCAGTGAAGTTAAGCTAATATTATTCCATAGCCAGGAAAATCACCAGAATTTAATCATTCTTCAGTCATGGGAGTTACTGCTCATTTGATTTTGTTTTCTTGGCAAAAGCCCAGTTTTGAAAATCCTGCAAAAAAAAAAATAGTCTGGTAGAGCTGTTCCTCTAAACAAATAATAAATCGTCAAATGCTTTTCTATCAGTTCGATAACTGTATTAATGGAACTTTGTTTCTTAAGAACTAGAATGACAGAATAAAGAAAGAATAAAAATGTGGTAAAGAAAATTAAGGCATGCGCAAAAGAAAATAACCTTTTAGGTATGGTATAATGTTTTCATTGTAAGCAAACTCTCAAAAATGTTATAGTGATAGACTGTGGTGGTGGGGGGGAAGTTTACAGACAAGAACTCAAATAAAAAAGTCTTCTCCTATGGGCTCCTGTAGATATTCAGCAAGTCCTACAATGCAAGCAGCCAGATAGCCAGCTCCATTTGGAGCAACTTAATTTCTCTCAATAAAATTCCAAACAGCACAGCAGTACAGTACAGACTGCTTGATAAGCCTGGGAACAACTAGATAAATACAACCACTTCCTCTACTAAATTCTAATCAAATATTTTTGAAGGCAACAGTCTTGGAGAGCTTGAAGAACGACTCACCTTTTTTATTACATCATTGAGGAAAATGATCTCTGTCAGTTTCATTGTCAAGTCGTCCTCGTTGGTGCCAGACTTCAAGTCGCTCACAACAGAGGGTCTGATACACAGTGGTGGCACTAAGAGTCGTGTGAGGATTAAATCTGAAGGCTTACCTGCTTCTGGGTTCATTAGAAGCAGAGGGATATCTTCTGCTGGGATTCTTTTAAAGAGGTTCAATACTACTAACGGATTCAAATTTTCCTACAAAATCCATTAGAAAATGTCACGATTAAGCCATCAAGTAACAATTTTCAACCCTTCCTTCCTCCCCTCATTTACTGATTATTCTGATTATTTACTCCAACTTTTGATTGTCTCAGATACTTGGTATGTTTTCTCGGTGTCTGTCTTCCCTCATTTTAACTTACATGTTTTACCTTGTGCTTATGCTACTTTTTTGAAGCAGTATTTCATAGCTCCTTGTCAAAATAATATATTAAACATTACAACAAACTTAAAATATCACAGAATCACAGAATTGTCTAGGTTGGAAGAGACCTCAAGATCATCTAGTCCAACCTAACACTAATCAGTCCTCCACTAAACCATATCACTAAGTTCAAGATCTAAACATCTTTTAAAGACCTCCAGGGATGGTGACTCCACCACTTCCCTGGGCAGCCCATTCCGATGCCTCACAACACTCTCAGTAAAGAAATTCTTCCTAATATCCAACCTAAAACACCCCTGGCGCAACTTTAGCCCATTCCCCCTCATCCTGTCACCAGGCACATGGGAGAACAGACCAACCTCCACTTCACTACAGCCTCCTTTAATTTACTTATAAAGAGCGATAAGGTCACCCCTGAGCCTCCTTTTCTCCAGGCTGAACAAGCCCAGCTCCCTCAGCCGCTCCTCGTAGGACTATTTTCTTTCATTTCATTAGTAGAAACTTACATGAATTACAATACTTTCTAGTGTTTTTCTAAAAAAATAAATAAATACAAAAACTTTTTTTCTCTTCTAGAACAGCTACTGATGCAGCATAAGAACTTCAAAATGCTCATTCCTTTTTCTGTTCATATATCTACCCTGAAATCTTTCCATCTTGCTAAGAAAAGAAGGAAACACAACCACACACAATGCAAAGCTGGATGAAACAAAAAAGCTTATTAAGCCTCCTCATTCCTCCTCAGTACTAAGTTCTTTCGAAGAAGATATCTCTGTGTATTGCAATCATCTCAGTTACAGTAAATCCACATGTAAATGTGTTATTTCTATGGGCCTACACTTTTTCTTTTTCTTTCTTCTTGAAGTTTCATACACCAAAAGCATCTCCCTTCTTTATGAATAGAAAAGTACATATCTAATAAACAAAGCTGCTCATTGATTGCCAAGTTAAAGTTATTACAATGCTAACAATATGGCAAACATGCTTCATGTGTCTTGGTATCCGGAACTACCTGACCACCTTAAGGTGCTACATTGAAAACCTTTGAGGAGTTTTATTTCACACACAAAAACTAGCAAAAAATTCAAATTGTAACAAAATTTACCTGAGCTCTTCCCAATAAGGATTCTACTTCTTTGTTATGTTCTATGGCAGTTTCAAAGGACTGGAGAAAAGTGGATACCACAGGATCTACCACTTTCTTATTGGTCTTATACTTTTCATGTATTATTTTCAACAAACCACACTTCTTCACAGTTCCTGTAAGCAAATAAATGTTGTTTTTTAATTTTTAAAAACTTAAAACAACTAAGTAATTGTTCCAAAATCCGTTACCCTCCCAGAGAACGACAAACATATTTAATCTTATGAAGAATAATGTCACAGAATTATGACAAAAGAAGTTCAAAAGTAAAGTCTACATGAAGTTCAATCAAAATTAGTCTTCCATGTTAAGGTACTGATCGCTGTCTAAAGGTTCCAATATTTTATTTATATATATATATAAATATATGTATATATATATGTATATGGTTGATCGAGACTTTTTTGCCATTATTCAAGTATTAAATATTGTTCACTGCCATGAAGAGGTACCTAAAACAAAATAAGTTACTAGGCCAATGTCCATATCCACATACATGAGAAGTGAATAAGCCTGTGCTTGGCATTAAGAATGCAACTATGTGTTTTTTAAGAAAGGCCAGAGAAAATACCCATTACCTATGGAATGAGTATTTGAGATTTTGATGCCTACCACAGCCACCAAGGTAAAAACCATCACAGCAGATAACTATCACTAACTACTCACCATTAAAGGCACCACAGTAAGGACAAGTGTTTTTCTTTCGGCACTTTTCAGACACTTTCTTCTTTAGCCCTCTCTTCTGAAGATACGTAAGGCCTGGTCGCTTCAGGTAATCCAAAAACTGTTTTTTTTCTTCCACTGACAACATGATACGGCAACAGGTTTTGCAGATCATCTTTAATATAAACACACATAAACACAGTTGTTTAATGCAGCCATGGAGAATTGTAACAGCTATTAGAACCTAGGTTCTTCAATAGTATGCACGTTTTCATTGAAATACAGCAGTCTTGGTTGAAAGACAAATTCTCATAGTGTAACACACACACAAAAAAAAAAGGACAAGGGGAAAATAATACAGGCAATAAGGTAAATTCTTATGTAAGTTCTGCAGGACCTAAACAATCCATAAAAAGTAAACAGAGCTTAGTTTTATTAGAATGTTCTAAAAGTTATGTTGCCTACACTTAGGTCAAACTACTATAGAAAGATTATGGATTAATGAGTCTGAGATCACAAAATAAAACTGATGTCTTTATAGTACTAAGAGTGATACTTAAACACAGTACTTTAAAAAACACAAGATCCAAAAAACGTATAATACAACCTTATTCTTGTCTTCTAAACTAATGTCTTTAAAGCAATCTTTACTAATCTGAGAGGAGGTTGCAGCGAAGAGGATATCGGTCTCTTTTCTTAGGTGACAAGCAATAGGACACAAGTTGCACCAGGGAAGGTTTAGATTAGATGTCAGGAATAATTTCTTTATGGAAAGAGTAGTTAGGCATTGGACAAGGGAAGTGGTGGAGGTATTTAAGAGACGTGTGGATGTGATGCTTAGGGACGTGGTTTAGTCATGGACTTGGCAGTGTTAGGTGATGGTTGGACTTGATGATCTTACGGGCCTTTTCCAACCTAACTTATTCTGTGATTCTAATAATTTCATTTCTGTAGCCTAGATATTGATAACAAATCATAATTATGTTTACCTGTAAGATGCCTATCACAGCTTTGAAGTATCCAACATGAAAACAGGGCAGTTCTAAGTCAATGTACCCATAATGTCCCAAACAGTCAGCTAGGTTTTTTCCACAGGTTTCACAGGGGCGGTCTTTTTCACTGGTTCCCTGTGAAAGAAAAGAAATACATGCTGATAATAGAATTTTATAGCTATAATGAGCTGAACATACAGAAGATGCAACAGTTTTTAAGCTAGTAGCTATCCTGACAGCAGACCCTCAGCACTTAGGTGTTTTTTTTCTAGCATTAGAAGCCTGTCAGTAGCGCTACATTTGGCCTAACCCTTAAGAAGTAAAAACGTTTTTCACACACTGGCCATCCTGATAACAGTGATACTAGCTTATCCAGCTATTGCCAGCTATCTACAGCCCACTGATCTCCAGCATGATGCTTTGCAGATGACCATCTCTGGGCCTCTGACAGTCAGGCAGCACAAACTCACCTCCTGCCCCTCAGGATGCTTTGTGGAACTTTCTCAAACCACACAGAGAGCAGCCGGCACAGCGACTGACAGCTGGTGCAATCGGAGACACATACGCACGTATTTTGAATGAACGGTGTACTTCAGTTATCTCACATTATTTTAACAATTTTGAGCAACTCTACGAAGAGGGCGTTTTTTTAAGGAAGAAGGAGAAGACTCACCATGCGGTGGTCGAGCACGCCGTACTGCAGCGGGGCGTGGTGGTTGTCCTGGCTGTACAGGTTCTTGCTGACCACCTGGATGTGCGCTTGCTGCCGCATCTCCTCGGGGGACTTCATCCCAAAGCAGATGTGGCTTCTGGCAGGGGGGACACGGGGCTGAGTGCGAACCGGGGGACACCGACACCACCTCCTCCTCCTCCTCCACACCCACCCCCGTCCCGCTCCCCACCGCCCCCGGCCCCGGCCGAGCCCCCTCAGCCCCTCTCACATCTTCTTGGCGACGTCGCTCTCTCGGAACTGCTCCTTCACCATGGTGGCGGTGGCGGCGCGGCCCCGCGGGCCGGCGGCAGGCACGGAGCACGGCACGGAGCCCGGCACCGAGCATCGAGCACCGCCCCACGCCGGGCCGGCCGTGCGGCCTCCTGAGGGACGCCGGTAGCGAGCCGGTGCCCAAACTCCCTCCGAGGGACGAGCGGGCACAGCCGGGCAGCGACTGAACCCGCTGCGGGACCTGACCCGAAGCACCGCGACCCCTCCCCGAGCCCAAGCGCAACCCCCCCGCAGCCCCGGCCGCCTCCCCCCGGCTCCGGCGCTGGGCCGAACACCCCCGGTGCAGCTCCGCCCCTTGCCCAGGCCCCGCCGCCTTATGCCGGGCCGAGGCGCACCGCCCCTTCCTCTTCGTGCTCGCCGCCTGCCCGCCAGCCGCCATCATGGTGAGGGGCCCGCGCCATCCGCCCGCCGCGCCGCCATCCCCGCGCTGAGGGGGCTCCGGGGGGCACGGCGCGGCCGGGGGGGCTCGGCCCGAGAGGGGCGGGCGGGTATGGGGGGGACGGGGTGCGCGCAGCGGCTGTGCCGGCCGGCGGGGCTGCCGCGGCCTGGCAGCGGGAGCTGGCGGGAGGGAGCCGGGTCCCTGCGCTGTGAGGGTGTCCCAGCGGTGTCGGCTGGCTTCTGCCGGGACGGAGGGGCCGCAGGTCCTGCTGCTGGGGTAGTGCCGCACAGGTTCAGGCCCCTGAGGGGGGTGCAGCGTGCTGTGCTGCTGGGTGGGCTCCTGGCTGTTCAGAAACCTAGTGAGGCAGACCCTACAGCTCCTCCTGTAGCTGTCTGTGTGTTACTATAGCACTTGGGCTCACCGTCCACGTCTTTCATTAAAAGCCATTTCAGTGTGTTAGGACAGCGGGGGCAGGGATGCTGCTGTGTTGGTTGCAAACTGGAGTTCATTCAGTGTGCTCCTCTGAAGTGTTTTCCACAACCTAGGACCAGTGTGCTTGTGAGGACACGCAGGTGAAGTCACGTTTGTGAGTTTGAAGTTATCTCGTGACAGACTAGTGACAGTTTCTTTACTGTATATTATTTATATATTTGTTAGGCTTGTAATTTTGGATAAAACTAGGATTTTGTTTCACTTCTTCATACTTCATTTTGCAGAATGACACGGTGACCATCAGAACCAGGAAATTCATGACAAACAGACTGCTTCAGCGCAAGCAGATGGTAAAAATACTGAAAAATGCCTTTATTTTTTTGTTGGTTCTGGGCTACAGGTGTTCTTTTAATGGTTACAAGTAAGGGGCCCTGGAAATTGTTTTGGCTGTCACTGTGTAAGAGCTTGTGCGTTCAAATGTCTTCATGTGCATTGAAGGTAAATCTTGATGCTAAAGCAGTGAGCTGGCCTGTCGTTATAAGCAGGAAGCTGCTAGGAACGCTTCTGCATTAAATCAATAATACTTCGTGTTGCTAAGGTGGATTAGCTCAAGTTTAAAGCTTGTGGAAGTGTAGCATGTGGCTGTTGTACTGGATATTGACTGTTTTTTGTTTTTATAACAACCTGTTAATTTGTTTTTAGGTGATTGATGTTCTTCATCCTGGGAAGGCCACCGTCCCCAAAACAGAAATCAGGGAAAAGTTGGCAAAAATGTACAAGACAACCCCTGATGTGATTTTTGTATTTGGCTTCAGAACTCACTTTGGTGGTGGCAAGACAACAGGTTTTGGCATGATCTATGATTCCCTGGACTATGCAAAGAAAAATGAACCAAAGCACAGGCTTGCGAGGGTAGGTTTTGTTTTCCAGTAAAAAGAAAACAATTGGAATGGCTTTCAAGTGTTCAGTGGTTCATTTACATGTATAAAAACTACAGTTGGTGGAAGTACTGGTATATATGGGGAATTTAGTGTTCTGTAAATTATGTTAAAAGTACTGTATAGATTATCTTTTGCAAATGCAAAGTAGGTTGCTTTTCTTAAAACCTATTATAGGTGGCTTGAGCAGTGTTATTCCTGAGATAAGGTAATAAGTCAACTAATTGCTAGTAAAGATCTTAAAGAGGCATGAGAGAGGACTGATACATATAAGATACATATAAGTGCTTGTTCTTTTGTGTCAGCTACTGAAGTTTCTAGCTATGTAGTAGTTCAGGTTCAAACAGTATTTGAAAGTTCCAGGAATAGTACAATTGGTTTAGCTCAAAACATGAAAACTTCATTTTGGAAGTTAGTATCAGAGAAGAGATGTAAAATACAACTTTTTTTTTAATAGCATGGTTTGTATGAAAAGAAAAAGACTTCCAGGAAGCAGCGGAAGGAACGTAAGAACAGAATGAAGAAAGTCAGAGGCACAGCCAAGGCTAGCGTCGGTGCTGGCAAGAAGGTAGGATGAGATGATCTGTAAGCTGGACTGTGTATGTTACTTCTGAAACGTCAAGTAGAAAGTTTTCAACAGAATAACTTTGTCTTTCTTCCATTTTTTTTTTTTTACCTGTTCTACTGGATAATAGAAGGTAATCTGTGTGGTCACATAGAGCTTCTTACCAGCTCAGTAGCTTAGTTTTGCTCATCACTGCTGCAGCTTAACTGATACACCAAGAAACCATGCTTCTTAGATTACTGTTTCCTACATCACTTGACTGAAGTTAAACTTTCTTAAATCTAACCATGTTGCTTTAATATCATAATTCAGTCATTCAGTATACAAATTAGATGTTCTTCTTAACTCTTGTTACTCAGACTGCATAAATATCTAATACTTACTCTGCCAAGGTAGTGTTCTGTTAGAAATCTTGTTAAGCATATGTAGTGTTGTGGGTGGTAAGGACTCTGTGTAATTAGTAACAAGGTAGAAGGGCTGCTTTAAATTGGTTCTGAGGGTCTGATTGGGAAAACTCGGGGCTCTCTTCCTGCTGGGAGCTTCCTGTGCTGTGGCTGGAAATTGATACAAACTTAAAAGGTATGCAGCTTGGAGGGAGACTGAATTCTTTTATCATGAAACAACCAAAACCACCAAGCTATGTAGTAGCCTGGCTGTGAAGACCTGACACCTTCCTTTGCTGAGTTCTGCACTTGGGAAAATACTGAGTAGGCTTGTGCAGCTAGGTGGATTTTGCAACAGTATTTTAATGAGGGAGGAGAGGGTGATGGGTTTTGATGCTTAGCTTTGTAGCTGCTAAGTTGCTTAACATCTCGAACTTAAGTAATCTTCACTTTTGCTTTTTTCTACTTTCTTGGGACTCTTCATCAGAAATGAAGTATCTAGCAGGTACTGGAAATGAGCATGGATGTGGTGACTGAATCACTGAAACACTTGGATATCTCCTGAAATGGAAGCACTGTACTGCCTTGCATGCATACGTGTTTACTTGAAATGTCTGTCCTGTAAAGGTTCAGATGACTGCATAATAATTTTTATTCTGTGTGACTTAAAAGTAAAATTTGGCTAATAGCAAAGGAGATGCTCAAAAATAGCAAAATACCACAGAAATAAGGAATTCGCATTGAGAAGAAAGCAGATGTATTGACTTGAGGCATTGGTTCAAAACACTACAGGTTCTGGTTCAAAGTAGTACAGTGCAATTGCATGTGTAACTTGACCTTTACACAAAAGTAGTTGTGTATTTTTATGAAAACTTAAGTCATGTCACAGCTTAATGTGTTTAAGACAGTGGTTGTAAACTATAAAATTGTCAGCATTAAACTGCTAACTATTAGCCTGTGATATTGGAAGCTAAGACAGAAATCACAGCAGCTGTTCTGAGAAATTCTTCCTCTGTAACTGAAATTCTTATAGATACATATCATTAGATACGATAAATCAGTGTTGTGGCTAACAACAGGGTGAGGGCTAGCTATTTGGAACCTTTTACCACTTCTGCTTCAGTGCTGTTTCAATAGCAAAGTTGTAGATTCATTTACAGCATAACAGTGTAAGAGCACCATCTTCATAATGTTAAGGGAGTTGTGCAGAGTTGCGTTGGTAACAGTAATGTGAGTGACTTTAGTCCCTTCAAGAATTTTGGTGCTTGAATGTGGCTGTTACTGAGTGTTAATACAGAATGGTTAAGTAACTGTCACTTCAATTAAAATTGTCTGTTTCATCTAAATTTTCTTAAAGTTGATAAGCATTTTAGAAAAAAAGACACGGTTGTGTTGAGATAATTACACAGCGTGTGACTTAGCAGAATTGTAGGGGATGGAAGGGACCTCAAGAGATGATTGGGTCCAACCCCTCTGTCAAAGCAGGTTCCCTAGAGTCTAGTTCACTTGACTTGTTTTTCAAGTACTTGTCAAAGTAGCGTGCATTGTCAATAGTAAGACAATTGTGTTTTGGTTGAAGTTTTTTGAATGTCCTCTAAAATGATAGTTTAGTTTATGACTACATAGTTTAGATCTTCTTCACCAGTTTTGTTAACCTTCGTGTCTTTGCATTAAGCATAAACTGAAGACTAATCAGCATGCCTTTTGGAAAACCTGGCTGGGAAGAGTTCTGTGCTATATCACAGAAAAAAGCTTGCAGAATACACTCCTGCCCTAAAGCTTTGTCTTGAAAAACACATGTTTGAACATAACGGTGTGGCATGGTTCAACATGCTTTTTAACAGCTATCTGCAGTTTTGAAAGAAATCCTGAAATAGGTTTTATTGTCCACCTACGTGATCTGTGACAATTGTTTATCTCAGAAGTGTTCAGGGACTTGATTATTACATTTCTTCAGGAAAGTCTGTAGTTACGAGAGTAAAAACCCATGTCTTTTCATGTTGCTACTGCACAAATGTTATCGACAGCTTTTGAGATGCAAGTCTTTCAAACAAGTATTTCTCAAGCATGATTAAACAGTAATGTGAATAGATAGGCAAATAAAGGCCTTCTGTCTTGGAGGTATAATTGAGCATGCAATTGTATCATGAGAGTTAGTTGAGCTGTAAACAACTATTGTTAGATCTGATGTTAAGTTTGAGGGAATGCATGAAATCTAAGTCCTTAGCTTCCACAGTAGTCTAGACTTCAAGGTTTTCCTATCACGTTGCTCTGTAGCAATTGAAAAAAATATATTGTCTGTGTTCTTTTCTGTTTCTTCTACAGTGGTAGGACCTTGATTAAAACTTTTCTCTTAGCAAATAATGCTTTTTTCTTTTTCAGTAACTGCACATACCTAAGATGGAAAATGGACAACAGGTATGACTTTGGAATGTTTTGTGAGAGTACACATTCAGTGGCCTGTAGTCTGACCATGATATAGGTTCAATGTTTATTTATGCAAAGAGCATGGTACTTGCACTGATACAGAAGGTAGTGCAAGAGTTGAAGACTAAGGGAGACTTAAATATTTAAAATTCACTGTTGTGCTTACTAGTGAGCTGATAATTTGTAACTTGCATGAGATACCTGATAAGTAGATAAACTGAAGTAATGGCTCAGACTAAGCTCAGATTTACTGTTGTTAAAAGATCTTACTGGTTAAAAGATCTTACTGGTTGGTCTTATTGTGAAGCATTTCTGTTTTTCAATAGTCTCAGTATGCTAAGGGTAGGGTAGGTTTGTACTGTCTTAAATAGGTCAAAGTTGCATGACTTGTATTTTGGTGCTAACTTCGTTTTCTTGCTCATAGTTCAAGTAAATGCCTTCTAAACAATCCTGATGCCATTTTGAATAAGCTTCTGACTACATTTTTCTATCTTTGCTGCAGAAACATAAGTGAATTGGATATGTTGTGGGCAGTAGCAGTTACAGACCAAAGTCTGGTTTTACTGCAAATGATTCTGAATGGCTTATTTTTAACTGTCTGGGAGTTGATAGTAGCTGATAGTGAGTATAATGTCTTAAGCAGGTGTCTGTGAAAGCAATTGTAGGTTGTTGAGATTGTCTAGAGAAATGCTGTAATCTAGGCTCTCTTTGCCATGATGGTTCAAGGCTTCACTGTACTTTGCATTCTTCTAAGAAAGGCATTGTTGTTCACCTGGCCTTGGCTTCTTTGGTAACAAGTTGTTCAGGCCATATAGTGATGTGGCTACAAAAATGTTTTATTCTTGTGGAACTAATATTTCTTTTCCTTTACAGACTACATGATTTTGTGAAGAAGTACAGGAACAATTATTCTAGAGAGAAGCTGCTCGTCTGGTTGTAACATGAAATAAACTATGTCAGTCAATTGCTGGTTTGCCATTTGGTTTTAATTTATCATAGAATCATAGAATATCCTGAGTTGGAAGGGACCCTTAAGGATCATCAAGTCCAACTCTTGACACCGCACAGGTCTACCCAAGTTCAGACCATGTGACTAAGTGCACAGTCCAATCTCTTCTTAAATTCAGTCAGGCTCGGTGCAGTGACCACTTCCCTGGGGAGCCTGTTCCAGTGTGCAACCACTCTCTCTGTGAAGAACCCCTTCCTGATGTCCAGCCTAAACTTCCCCTGTCTCAGCTTAACTCCGTTCCCGCGGGTCCTGTCGCTGGTGTTAATGGAGAAAAGGTCTCCTGCCTCTCGACACCCCCTTACGAGGAAGTTGTAGACTGCGATGAGGTCTCCCCTCAGCCTCCTCTTCTCCAGGCTGAACAGGCCCAGTGCCCTCAGCCGTTCCTCGTACGTCTTCCCCTCCAGGCCTTTCACCATCTTCGTAGCCCTCCTCTGGACACTCTCCAACAGTTTCATGTCCTTTTTATACTGTGGTGCCCAGAACTGCACACAGTACTCGAGGTGAGGCCGCACCAGCGCAGAGTAGAGCGGGACAATCACCTCCCTCGACCTGCTAGCGATGCCGTGCTTGATGCACCCCAGGACACGGTTGGCCCTCCTGGCTGCCAGGGCACACTGCCAGCTCATATTCAACTTGCTGTCTACCACGACCCCCAGATCCCTCTTTTTTTACAACTACTGTTTTGTAAAGCTTGAGAAATTCAAGATTGGTGCACTATTTGCACTGTATTAAAATCTTTTCATAATTAAACAGCTCTTGTTTTGAGTATCGATCCGAAGTATGAATTCAAGCTTTCTATAGATAGTAGTTTTAAAGACATTCCAAGCAGTCAGTGTTAACTCAATGGAGGTAGACATGCTTTGTCGTCTATTGTTCAGGTTGTATTTTGCAGAGTCCTTTTATGGTGTGCTTGACTGCTTTTATAGACCTGCAGAGTACAGCTGAAGAGAGTGGAAAAACACGTCAGCAGAGAGATTCAGAGCTGCATATTTTACAGCTGAGGTTTTAGCTACTGAAGGACTCCAGTATAACTAGTCTTTGGTTCCTCCGTTGTCAAGACAGGCTCAGGGGTCTCCATTTGCTCTGTGAATTGTGTAGTGCGTCTCTAATTTTTTTATCTGGTGGTGTTAAACGAGTCATTTGAGATTGGATTACTTGTTGGATGAGGCATGCTTTACGCTCTTAAGAGCATTCTGGTGCAGGTCTCCTGAGTAGCAGGTAGAACAGAAGTTATACAGTAAATAGGAGTGAAACTGACCGGACAGCTCTAGTGGACATGCTGATGAAGGTTCTGACCTCATTCTTAGGTAAGTGCAGTGTTTTTAAATTGTACTGCAGGTGTACTGAGGCAGGATATTGTAATACAGGTAAGACATCTTTAGTGTTTGGGGGTGGCATGGGGAGTGGGAACAACCCTGGAGCCACAGTTGAAGTGATTGGGATACTGTTACCCTAGTAACTTCAATACAGTACAGATAAAACCCTGTCTTTCCTAGTACCTTCAGTTGGTTTTTGAAATAGTGGGTTTGCTCTTAGTGTTCAGCAGCATCGCTCTCTCAGCTGTGCGATAAAGTTGCTGTACCTCATGCTATAGTATTTCTGTTTTCATTGAGGTTGGTATTTGGGGTTATGCAACTGACCTAAAGAAAGGGTAGTTGAAATTCTTCTTATAAATGTAGGTGAAGTAATGAAATCAGGCTAAGGGGATGTATAATCAGGGAGTAATTTCTTCTACAATAAGTAGTTTTGATTCTTAAGTCTTACGGAAGTAAAGGTGGTTTTTATCTTAGACCTTCAAAGATAGATGCTAGTTACACGTTCTTCCAAAAGAATGTATGCGTATTAAAATCTGAGGAGTTGATAGAGGGGCATTAGAAATAAGACTTGTTCTGCTACTTGGCGTGTCTGCTGAACTCTTGACCCTGTAGGAACACTTGGAGTAAGTGACAAATTTCTGACTAGCAAAAGGAATTTGAAGGATATGGAGCAAATATTATTCACATAAAGCATTGAGTTAAACCTAAACCTCTTTTTAAGGTAATACCTGGAGTAAAAACTTCCATTAAATGTTCAAAACTCAAGGATAGAATTCACAGAAAATATTACTGACTACTCACTAGGGGGTGGTGTGAACACAACAATACAAATACAAGACTTAAATACTTATTTTCATAATAAATAAAGCTGGAAGGAAGCTGAAATGTCCTGTCAGAGATGTCAACTCATTTGAAAGTAAGCATGGAAAATGGTTGTGGAGGATGTGAGGCTTTGTGTGATACTCCTGTCATTTTATTTGTTTTGTTTTTAATTGAATGGAAGTTGATTTTCAGTAAAGACCACATATTCAAAATACTGACTGCTTTAAAGCTCTGGAGTACTGACACTCAAATTCAAGTTGTTCTTTTCAGAATTTCTCTTACCGTAGTTAGAAGCAATCAATCTATAAATAAATCCTGACACGGGTGTCTGTTCTGCACAGTCCTGATGTTTTAATGTAAGAAAAACAATACTGTTTCCAAGGACATGTTCGTCTTGAAAAATTTAGTTCTGGAATTGAAGGTTCCCTCCGCAGTACTGTAGTATCTTCAGTGATGTATCATTAAAGGTTCACTTAAGTACAGTAGCTGTCCAAAGCAAATGGCTTGAAGTCGGTCGTCTAATTGCCTGGTACCATGCTTTGGTATTTGGTGGTGCTGTATGGTAACTGAATGACAGTGAAAAATACTGACCTAGTGATTCAGCATAACAATTGATATGTCTTGTTACATGGTTAGCTTATAACCACACATTGATAAGCTGTGTTCTTGTCTTACAGTGGGAGGCAGTAAGCACAAAAAATGGGAAGGGGAGGAAATGATTTCAAGTGATCTGAAAGTAATTAGTCCAATCAGATTTTTTCCACTATTTTGCAGCAGTGTTAATGCGGTTATGCTTTTCTTCTGTCATTCCACTTGAAAAGCGGCAGGCAACTGAAGAGCTGCCGTTGGAAATCCTCTGCTTCCACAGTCTGGAGAGCGAAGCAGCTCTTCATGCAAGTTTCTATTCTGCCAACATTTAGCCTTCGTATGCTGCAGTTTAAGCTATGTGTAGCAGATGTTCTGAATTACAGAAGTTTAATACACGTATCATGCTGTGAGGAGACTCTAGGTTAATCCCCTTTCCTGTGGGAGGTAAAACAATTAAGTAAAAAGCACTGATGAACAGGAATCTTCACTTCTTTCCCTACTGTGTGCTGAAGGTACCCTTTTATTTCCTGCTGATCTTGGCGCATCCCATCATCTATAGGTGATAGTTTTTGTCGCTGTTAGTTGCTTTTGGACTTCAGCCTGGACATCATGTAACAATATCCATGTTCTAAAAAAACAAGTTTCAAAGAGAACTTTTAAATACTGTATCTATGTAATGAGCCATCTGCAACCTAAATTATGTTACAAAGGGTTTTTGGAGAAGGAACTTAACTAAACAATTAATGAATAATGTGAAATAGGTCTACATGAAAAGACTTCCATTAACTAACATTTTAATGGGTAGGACTTGTTTGAATTACTTGTATTTTTTTTAAGAAGGTATATCAAAGTTGCAGAAAATGTTTGTTTTTTTTTTATAGTAGTAGTAGTGACTTGATACGGCTGGACAAGTAAGATTAAATCAAGTCTGTGTGTGAAATATGTTAAAAACTGCAGCAGCCTCAGAGCTTGACTTGAAGCTAGATCAAGTAGTCATATTTCTTATTGAGGTTCCACCTTTAGGTTCACGGACACAGATAAGGCATGGTCTTATATGTAATGCAGCTTCTGTCATTACAATGTAATCTTGAAGGTAAAAGACAAACTACAGCATGTGAAGAGATAGAGGGAAGCTGACTCTGGAGGAGAAGAGTTAAGTGTCTTGAGGTCAGAAGTTTGATCTGAACAACAGAAGTTGCTATCATGGGTGTAAATATTTTTGTTTTCTATCTACTGCAATAGCAGTAAGAGTAAGTTACTTCTATGAACAGACTGGTTGCAATGCTTCTTACAGGTACAGTGAGAAGGCTTAAGCTTTGACAAGTCAATGTCAGGATTAGGCATATAGAAGTATATTATAGAAGTATATTAATGTTATTGGTTTCCTTTGCTTTAAAGAGATTAAATGGCAACTTAATCATATATTGCCTGTTGGTAACATTGATCAAGTCTATGAAGCTCTAAAAAACAACAACAGAACCCCCTCTGTGGAATTTTATCTGCATCTGGACTTCGGTAAGCTTCCTTTTAATTTTAGAATTGAGTCTGTGAAGGCTGTGGTTAATGAAACAGATGTGAAAGTGACCAAAAGACATGTGCACTAGAAGACAGTTATGGGGCTTTTTGCCTGAGCTGGCCATCAATAACCACTTCAAATATATAATGATAAAAAAAAAATCATCTTCCTTTCCAGTTACTGCTGTTCATACACAGAGCTCCTAAGTAAGGTGAAGTAGTAAGATGAAGCAGAGGTAAATTCAGAACGTCTCTGACTTTGTACATAGCAGATGCTTTACAATCAGTTAAAAAAAAAAAGTGAATGCAATGTCTTGTCATGTGCCTTGTACATGATGATGGTTTTTACTTGTGTTCATTGGGTTAGAATACAGCTTGTTATCTAATAAACTGGCCAGACTCTAAACTGACCTGTGTTAAGAGAAACATGCTTCACTGCCTTTCATGATGATCTGATTTGATTGTACTGGAGCTACTACCCTGCTATCATTTTCTGTCAATTTTCACTAGCCTGTTTGTTAAGCCAGAAATCATTTGTGTGGCTTTGATAACAGGTTTCAATCACTGATAATAAAACTTCTGCAGCAGATGACCTCAGATCTGTATCTTCTGCACAGTATTGGCTGTAAGTAGAAAATTGGGTCTGACACGTTTCTCTTTTTGATACTTTGTCTTTTTAACAAGAAACTAAAATGACAATGCAAGTAGGTTAGCAT